GAAAAATAATATGTATATATAGGTTATAATATATTTTTAATGTCTAATTTAATCTGCATTAAAACTAATAATAACTACTTATGTAAATCTTATTAATTATTAATCTTATTAATTTATTTTATTTAAGAATTATATTTCTCTTATTTTTTCAATTCTATAATTACTTACTAAAATATTATTTATATTGTTCACAGTATCTCGTATCACTATAAGTATCTTATATTTTGTCTTGACAGATAGTAAAAGAAACTAGTAAAATCTAATAACTCGCAATAACTCGTACCGAAAAATGGGACGCAACGCATTTTTTCGTTTGAGCTTCTTATTCGAGTTTTGCATCCAAATTCAGTGTGTACATGATCCGAGTTCTAGTATCGTGGACACAAGGCTTAATGGGTGGACTGGCACTAGAATTGTCAAATCGCCGGGATTTCCGGGAAAATCCCGGAATTCGTCGGCTGGTCCCGTGTCCAGTAATTGAAGATTTTTGTCCCAAAAATGCATAATTTTAATGAAATCCCAGGATTTATTTCATATTTTTAGGTCATTTCTCACAATCGCAATCGTCAATACTTACATTAAAAATTTATACGAAATTATGTGATTCAGACACTCACGAGCGCGTCCACAGTACTGACTTATAGCGTTTTCGATTATACAGGATTTGAACGACCCAGGGTTGGTTAATGACGTCATTGCAACCTCTCCACCAATGAAAGACTTGCATTTATAGTAAAATAGTGATTGATCAACCCTGGGTCGTTCAAATCCTGTATAATCGAAAACGCTATAAGCCACTGTGTTGTGCTTTGTGCGTTCTGGCGTCGTTCTGGTAGTGCAGTACATCAGCAGTGCATCGTGATATTTCCCGCGGTACGTTTGACCAACGACCGCTGCTCATTCGGTTTTTGTTTTAAATAACTCCGCACGGGCACATGACATGAACGTGCTTGTTTGATCTAACGTTATGGAACTCGAATCAAATGTATTACATTGGTAGTACAAATGATGTCCAGTTTTTATATAACGGTATTTCTTAGCGAGTATATATTAATTTAAGGCAAGGTGCAATCGCAATCAATGCAAATCATGTTTATTATATTTCTCGGTTATGAAGTCAATTTTTATAATCCACTAACAATAAGAATATTTCATATTTTTTTATTCGTACTCTACAACATAATAACTATATTAATTTAAAGATGTAATTCGTTGTTTCTTCAGAAAATATCTATTCGCACATTCTCAGAAAGGCACTAACAAAACCAAAAGAAATCGGGACGAGCAATAACATGTCAAAACATTGTCGCGTCGTATAGTGTTCCTAATATACATCTGAGAACTATGGAATGTAAAAATGTTTTATAAAAATAAAATCTCTTTATATACCTATTGATAGGTGGGCTTGATCTAATATTCATATACGCATTATAGAAATCTACTAGATTGTACCTGACGTTAGTTATACGCGCGAACACAGAGTTAATATATATAGATTAAAATATCTGTTATTAATTCGCTGTTATCTTGCATTTCTTAATTTATTGACTGGCATCTAATGCTTGTTGGATGTCGGCTATGAGGTCCTGCTTCGATTCCAGACCGACAGACAATCTGATCAATTGATCAGTTACGCCTGACGCTGCTCGTTCATCTTTCGATACGAATGCAGGCATCATAGTGGATCTACACGAGTGAAAATCGTTAACATTTTCTTAAATATGTAACATCGATTAATCTCTACTTACGGTGATGAGGCTAGCGATTCGAAACCTCCTAAGGACACACATAAAGTGAAGGCTTTCAATGCTTTCAAGAATTTGTGAGAGTTGCCTTTCAGATAAAAGGAGACCATTCCACTGTGTCCGGTTGATTGTTTAAGTGCAACATCGTGCTGTGGATGTGATGGGAGATCTGCAATAGAACGATATGTGAGTTTTATTTTATGGATGTTTTATCATTATGGATATTTTATCATTGTTTTACACGTTTGATAAAACGTTAATTAAGCAGTAAATAAGCGACTGACAAGTTGATAATTAAGGTACAGTATTGTTTTACATTTCGCGAGATAAGAGGAGTAATAAACCATACAGATACATACAGGGATGGAACACTCGCTCGACATTCGAATGAGATTCTAGGAACTTGGCCACAGCCAAGCCGTTTTCCATGTGCCGCTGCATTCTAAGCCCGAGAGTTTTTATGCTACGATTAACTAAGGCGCAATCAAAAGGCGATGGAACAATGCCCATGGCTAAAATCAAGGTATATATAAATGTGATGAATACCTATAACAAAACTTTTACCGATTTGGAAAAATTTAGAGCCTACCGTTTTACAAGAATCGCAACTTTTCTGCGAGATCGTCCCGGCGTGTGATTGCGGCACCCATAATAACATCCGAGTGTCCGTTCATGTATTTCGTAAGTGAATACATTGAAATGTCAACCTTAAACTCGAGTGGTTTCTGTTTTGAATGTTAATTAATATATATTGTAGTTTCTATTTTCGTAATTAGACATTATTTTTCTCAGTATGAAATACGGAAACTCACTTGAAAGTAGCATGTCAAGAAGGTATTGTCGACAACTACAATAATGTCTGGACGACGAGATTTCACAGTATCGACAAGAGCTTTAAGATCTACAACTTTTAACAATGGATTGCTTGGCGATTCCAGCCAGATCATCTTTGTATTTGGTTGTATGGCATCTATAACATTCTGTACACTAGTCATGTCGACAAATGTCGATTTTATGTTCTGCTTGATCAAACATTTTTGGAAGTAAACGGTGGTTCCACCGTAAAGGTCATCTGCAGCGATTAAGTGATCTCCTGCTTGCATTAATGCTGTAATTGTAGTCGTTGCGCCTAAGCCAGAGGCAAACGTCAGACCATGTTTACCATTTTCTAAAGCTGCCAAACATGTTTCCAGTACGTTGCGTGTAGGATTGCCGCTTCTGCCGTATTCGTAACCCTGAAAAAACAATCAAATTAGAATTGAAATAAAATTAAAATTAAAATTTTCACACAAGAAAATAAAAAGCGAAATAATATTATTGATTGAATAATATTATTGAACTCAATAATATTTCAAACATTGACGAGTCAACTCATATTTTAACCATGGACCACAAGATTTTTACCAAATTTTACTGAACTGACTTGTAAATTCTAACTCTTTCATCACCGGGTCACTTTTTGTATACTATGGATACTTCTTTTAAATAAATAATCTAATCTACCGATCCATTGCAACCTATATAACATGATTTACAACAAGACCGATACGCTATTACACCACACTTTTGCTTAACGTTTATGCGTTTGTGGATTTTTTCAATATTGTATTTTTAAAAGGATGCGTATGTTTTAATTTTATTAATAATGGATTAGCAATTTGTAGCACTGAAGAAAGTCTTATTTAGCCTTATTCAGCTTTATTTATTTTTAGAAAGCCTTATTTCAAGTTTTTTTAATTAAAATTTTATTATACATAATTTTAACAACATCCAGGCTCATTAAATTTATCTGAATTATATCTAAAGACTGATTAAATTTATATCTAATCTTTTTTATAGCTCATTAAATTTATCTGAATTATATCTAAAGACATTCAATTTATATCTATTCATATTTATAGCTCATTAAAGTTATTTGAATTATGTCTAAAGACTTAAACATTTAGATAAGGGTTTAAATTAGGATTTTAGAAATATATTTTTCCTTTTTATTTTAATTTTTTAGTAAGAAATAACTTTGAGATAGATGTGATTTATGCATAATTTTATTAACAGAAATTAATTTACTAACAAATTAATAATAATTGGATTGAATGAGAGGTGAATGAGAAGAATCATTGTCATCAATTAAGAGCTGAATGTGTCAGTACATTTGAATGAGGTCAGTACATTTTGCACTTACTCTGTGCTGCCCTGGAGCATCCTGTTGAAAACTCGTAGACATCACCAGAGGAGGAACAATTGAAGCATGTGTCCATTGTTGCGGATCCTGTCCAGCATGAATGGCTATAGTCGAAAAATCTCTTGCTGAAGCCATGACCTGTTCAACAAAAATTTTACACTATTGCAATAAATAATGCAATTATATCTTGCAATTTCTTACATTGCAAAGAAAAAATTAGTAACATACAATACACTTAATAAAAAATATAAAAAATAATATGCCATAATAATAGTAATCATAACATAATAATATACTTGTATTACATGATACAATTTGTACAAAAAAAATACAACATCATCAATACGATATCTGATAATTAGAAACCTGACGTTGCGCATTTCAAATTTAGATTAGATAAAATAGAAACTCTTCTTATTCGTTGTATAAAACAATTGGCAATTTTCTTTCGAAATTGAAACACTTGAAATTTTTTATAGTATCTTGTTCTAAAAATTTAAATTAAGTTTCGGCAGTATACACATACTTTGTTTTATTACACTGCACTTTCTGTTTTTGTTCTTGATCATCTCGCTCCATTCAGAGCACGAGTTATATCCGTTGCATTTCCGGTATGAAAAGTGCAACGGGTAAGAACAAGTGCTTCCTTGGTTCCGATCACACACTTACGAGTTTGAATGATGAAACGACCTTGTCCTGACGACGAATTGGCGGAAGAAATATAACTTTGTTGATACCGAACTTTTGCTGGAACACCTTCAACCAAAATGAATTGATCGTACCGACGTACGTATTTATCAGTCTACAACGTGCACAGTCACTTGTTTGATGAAAGAATGGTGGGATGCTAAATGTGATGACACTGTCGAAACAGCGATGCACTTATGCGACATTTGATATATCGTTGTATTATCGCAACGTGTCAGTAGAGTATTTTTTCAAATTGTCAGCAGTTTATTAGTTCTTTTAATCTGTAAACACAACAAATTAAATTAAATTAAATTTTATTTTAATTAAATTTGATAAAAGTTTATTTTGAAAAAATGTGCAATTGCAAAAATTTACATTAAACATGTATAAACAACATTATTATAAAAGAGAATCGGCAAGAGCTTTTTGCTTTGTATCAAAATTAATATTGTTCTATTAATCTTTTGTCTCTTAAAAATTTATTCTACCACAAATTTTCGTTTACTTCTAAAATTAGCAGGCCTATAGATAACGGATAAATGTTATCTCATTTACATAAGTTGTTACAATTTTAATATTGCATAATTGTTTACTCGAATTGTGTATTTTGCTTCAGCAAAGCGAATATTTCATCTTGTCGGAGCAAATATTAACAAGTGATAAAATTGTATTATTCTTGCTTTTTTTATGCATTTAACGATGCATTTAACTTACAATTGGCGGACTGATAAATGTCATCTTATCAGTTTCATTACTCCTGTAATATTATCATTCTATCGTTTATATATACAACATGATTGTCACTTGTATTCATCCTCATATTCTCGTGTTCGAGAAAGAGACGGAAATCTAGTATAAATCAGCGAAATCAAGATTAACGAAAGAGAAATATCAAATAAAGATTTATTTATGGCAAAATTTGCTAAATTTACGTGTATTTATTGCTAAAGAATAGCAATTATTGTGTGGCGCATTATTGATAAAAAAAATGTACTTCATTTGTCGCGTCACACAATATCATATAAAATATCCATAATAAAGCAAACGTGTTGCCAACACTTTTACATAACATCTTTGAAATGTCTCTTGATTTGTCTTATAATCACTAACAAAAGTCTTATAATCATTGTAGTACAAATAATGTCCAGTTTTTATATAACGGTATTTCTCAGCGAGTATATATTATTTTAAGGCAAGGTGCAATCAATGCAAATCATGTTTATTGTATTTCTCGGTTATGAAGTCAATTTTTATGATTCACTAACAATAAGAGTATTTGATATTTTTTTATTCGTACTTTACAACATAATAACTGTATATTAATTTAAAAATGTAATTCGTTGTTTCTTCAGAAAATTCGCACATTCTCAGAAAGGCACAAACAAAACCAAAAGAAATCGGAACGAACAATAACATGTCAAAACATTGCCGCGTCGTATAGTGTTCCTAATATAAATCTGAGAACTATGGAATGTAAAAATATTTTATAAAATAAAATCTCTTCGTATACCTATTGATAGGTGAACTTGATGTAATATTCATATATGCATTATAGAAATCTATTAGATTGTACCTGACGTTAGTTATACGCGCGAACACAGAGTTAATATATATAGATTAAAATATCTGTTATTAATTCGCTGTTATCTTGCATTTCTTAATTTATTGACTGGCATCTAATGCTTGTTGGATGTCGGCTATGAGGTCCTGCTTCGATTCCAGACCGACAGACAGTCTGATCAATTGATCAGTTACGCCTAACGCTGCTCGTTCATCTTCCGGTACGGATGCATGCGTCATAATGCATCTACACGAGTGAAAATCGTTAACATTTTCTTAAATATGTAATATCGATTAATCTCTACTTACGGTAATGCGGCTAGCGATTCGCAACCTCCTAAGGATGCACCTAGAGTGAAAACTTTCAATGCTTTCAGGAATTTGTGAGAGTTGCCTTTCAGATAAAAGGAGACCATTCCACTGTGTCCGGTTGATTGTTTAAGTGCAACATCGTGCTGTGGATGTGACGGGAGATCTGCAATAGAACGATATGTGAGTTTTATTTTATGGATGTTTTATCATTATGGATATTTTATCATTGTTTTACACGTTTGATAAAACGTTAATTAAGCAGTAAATAAGCGACTAACAAGTTGATAATTAAGGTACAGTATTGTTTTACATTTCGCGAAATAAGAGGAATAATAAACCATACAGATACATACAGGGATGGAGAACTCGCTCGACATTCGAATGAGATTCTAGAAACTTGGCCACAGCCAAGCCGTTTTCCATGTGCCGCTGCATTCTAAGCTCGAGAGTTTTTATGCTACGATTAACTAAGGCGCAGTCAAAAGGTGATGGAACGATGCCCATGACTAAAATCAAGGTTTATATAAAGATATATATAAATGTGATGAATATCTATAACAAAACTTTTAACGATTTGGAAAAATTTAGAGCCTACCTTTTTGCAAAAATCGCAACTTTTCTCCGAGATCGTCCCGGCGCGTGATTGCAGCACCCATAAGAACATCCAAATGTCCGTTCATGTATTTCGTAAGTGAATACATTGAAATGTCAACTTTAAACTCGAGTGGTTTCTGTTTTGAATGTTAATTAATATTTATTGTAGTTTCTATTTTTGTAATTAGACATTGTTTTTCTCAGCATTATGAAATACGGAAACTCACTTGAAAATAGCATGTCAAGAAGGTATTGTCGACAACTACAATAATGTCTGGACGACGAGATTTCACGGCATCGACAAGAGCTTTAAGATCTACAACTTTTAACAATGGATTGCTCGGCGATTCCAGCCAGATCATCTTTGTATTTGGTTGTATGGCATCTATAACATTCTGTACACTAGTCATGTCGACAAATGTCGATTTTATATTCTGCTTGATCAAACATTTTTGGAACAAACGGTTGGTTCCACCGTAAAGATCATCTGAAGCGACTAAGTGATCTCCTGCTTGTATTAAAGCTGTAATTGCAGTCGTTGCGCCTAAGCCAGAGGCAAACGTCAGACAGTGTTTGCCATCTTCTAAAGCTGCCAAACATGTTTCCAGTACGGTGCGCGTAGGATTGCCGCTTCTGCCGTAAACGTAACCCTGAAAAATACAATCAAAATTAGAATTGAAATAAAATTAAAGTTAAAATTTTCACACAAGAAAATAAAAGGCAAAATAATATTATTGAACTCAATAATATTTCAAATATTGACAAGTCAAACTTATATTTTAACCATGGACCACAAGATTTTTATCAAATTTTACTGAATTGACTTGTGAATTCTAACTCTTCCGTCACCGGGTCACTTTTTGTATACTATGAACACTTCTTTTAAATAAATAACGGCTGATCTACCGGTCCATTGCAACCTCTATAACATGATTTACAACAAGTCTGATACGCTATTACACCACACTTTTGCTTAACATTTATGCGTTTGCGGATTTTTTCAATATTGTATTTTTAAAAGGATGCGTACGTTTTAATTTTATTAGTAATGGATTAGTGATTTGTAACACTGAAGAAAGCCTTATTTAGCTTTATTTAGCTTTATTTCAAGTTTTTTAAATTAAAGTTTCATTATACATAATTTTAACAAAATCCAGGCTCATTAAATTTATCTGAATTATATCTAAAGACTGATTAAATTGATATCTAATCATATTTATAGCTCATTAAATTTATCTGAATTATATCTAAAGACATTAAATTTATATCTATTCATATTTATAGCTCATTAAAGTTATTTGAATTATGTCTAAAGACTTAAACATTTAGATAAGGGTTTTAGATTAGGATTTTAGAAATATATTTTTCCTTTTTATTTTAATTTTTTAGTAAGAAATAACTTTGAGATAGATGTGATTTATGCATAATTTTATTAACAGAAATTAATCTACTAACAAATTGATAATGATTGGATTGAATGAGAGGTGAATGAGAAGAATCATTGTCATCAATTAAGAGCTGAATGTGTCAGTACATTTGAATGAGATCAGTACATTTTGCACTTACTCTGTGCTGCCCTGGAGCATCGTGTTGAAAACTCGTAGACATCACCAGAGGAGGAACAACTGAAGCATGTGTCCATTGTTGCGGATCCTGTCCAGCATGAATGGCTATAGTCGAAAAACCTCTTGCTGAAGCCATGTTCAACCTGTTCAACAAAAATTTTACACTATTGCAATAAATAATGCAATTATATCTTGCAATTTCTTACATTGCAAAGGAAAAATTAGTAACATACAATACACTTAATAAAAAATGTAAAAAATAATATGCCATAATAATAGTAATCATAACATAATAATATACTTGTATTACATGATACAACTTGTACAAAAAAAAATACATCTGATACGATATCTGATAATTAGAAACCTGACGTTGCACATTTCAAATTTAGATTAGATAAAATAGAAACTCTTCTTATTCGTTGTATAAAACAATTAGCAATTTTTTTTCGAAATTGAAATTAAAATTATTTAATAGCTCATTCTAAAAATTTAAATTAAGTTTCGGCAGTATACACATACTCCGTTCTATTACACTGCACTTTCTGTTTTTGTTCTTGATCATCTCGCTCCATTCAGAGCACGAGTTATATATCCATTGCATTTCCAGTATGAAAAGTGCAACGGGTGAGAACAAGTGCTTCTTTGGTTCCGATCACACACTTACGAGTTTGAATGATGAAACGACCTTGTTCCGATGACGAATTGGCGGAAGAAATATAACTTTGTTGATACCAAGCTTTTGCTGGAACACCTTTAACTAAAATGAATTGATCGTACCGACGTACGTATTTATCAGTCTACAACGTGCACAGTCACTCGTCTGATGAGAGAATGGTGGGATGCTAAATGTGGTGACACTGTCAAAACGGCGATGCACTTACGCGACATTTGATATATCGTTGAATTATCGCAACGTGTCAGTAGAGTATTTTTTTTAAATTGTCAGCAGTTTATTCGTTCCTTTAATCTGTAAACACAACAAATTAAATTAAACTAAATTACATTTTAATTAACCCTTAATCCCGACGGTTCTTTTCGGCACCTTTAATCCCGACTCATGGGTCGCTTTGCGTCTTTGCGTTATTTGAATCAGTAAAAACGCTTTAAAAAATCTGAAAAAATTCATGGAGCTTCTTTCAACCTTCAACTTGAAGTCCCAATTATAATATTTCGATAAAAATTATTTTTTTTATATAGTTTGTTATTAAGAAATGGAGGTACCTTACAGCACTTTGAAATTTCGCTTGGGTCGAAAACGACCCATGAGTTGGGATTAAGGGTTAAATTTAATAAAAGTTTATTTTTGAAAAAATGTACAATTGCAAAAATTTACATTAAACATGTATAAACAATATTGTTATAAAAGAGAATTGGCAAAAGCTCTTTGGTTTGTATTAAAATTAATATTGTTCTATTAATCTTTTGTCTCTTAAAAATTTATTCTACCACAAATTTTTATTTACTTCCAAAACTAGCAGGCCTATAGATAACGGATTAATGTTATCTCATTTACATAAGTTGTTACAATTTTAACATTGCATAATTATTTACTCGAATTGCGTGTTTTGCTTCAGCAAAGCGAATATTTCATCCTGTCGGAGCAAACATTAACAAGTGATAAAATTGTATTATTCTTGCTTTTTTCATGCATTAACGATGCATTTAACTTACAATTGGCGGACTGATAAATGTCATCTTATCAGTTTTATTACTCTTGTAATATTATCATTCTATCATTTATATATACAACATGACTGTCACTTGTATTCATCCTCATATTCTCGTGTTCGAGAAAGAGACGGAAATCTAGTATAAATCAGTGAAATCAAGATTAACGAAAGAGAAATATCAAATAAAGATTGATTTATAGAAAAATTTGTTGCTAAATTTACGTGTATTTATTGCCAAAGAATAGCAAATGTGTGTGTGTTGTATGTATGAGCAAATGTAGTATGTAGTGACATGCATCATCAAAGCGCATGCGCCAGAAAGAAATACCTTGGCTGCGTACGGGGAGTGCGTTATTAGCGCTATTTGCATCTTTTATCTTTGTTTTATGTCTAATGAGCGATAAAGATAGAAGACGCAAATAGCGCTAATAGTGCGCTCCCCGAACGCAGCCCTTATGTACCGTTTCGTACATAAGAAATAGGGACGCCTTATGCATAAGGAGTTAGCAGTCTAGTAATATATAGAAGTCTGTGGTTAAAGCATTTCTGTGATCGAGTGTACAGTAATGGCAAATTTCCACTGAGCGCGCATCATCCGTCGCATCACGAATTAACCAATCAAAACATCCCATTTTATGGCATTGTTTGCCGCGCTAATAAAATGGGATGTTTTGATTGGTTGATTCGTGACGCGACGAACGACGCGCACGTGACGCGCTCAGTAGGAATTCGCCATAATACTGCCATACTCGGCAGCCATGTTGGATTATACATTCTTGAGCATTTCTGATTGGCCGCGTTCAGCAGACTCAACAGTTGTAGATTTTCCGCTGAATCTCGACTGTTAATTAGTTGGTTCTGAAAGTAAGAACCAATCACGTTCGATTGCTACTAAGCGGTTTGTTCTGCTGAACGCGCCCATTGGCTATTATTTTGTTCGACTGCGCATCCACGGGACTGGTACACCTTTGTATTTACATCGTGTATGGAATGTAAATAATTTTTGAAGCAAGTTGGAACAAGTTGGAAGTTCCAAACTTAAAACAAGTTTGATATGCTGTCAGTCTGCAAGATAGCACAATAAACTAAAAGTGAAAAATACATTTATTCTTTATTGATAATATATTTGCTTCAATAACGTACTTTAACAAATTAGTCGCATAATAACATTGATATTACGTTTGTTCACAAATACTGAAGATTATTGGAGTCAATTTATAACCTAGGTAATTAAAAATCGTTGATAATGTTGAAAATTGTGTGTTATGGCTTTTTTAAAATTGTATAATATCGCATCTAATTATGCAATATTTTGTGGACACTTAAACTGGACACTTAAAAGCATAGGCAGCAAGTTGTCCAAGTTTACAAATGCTTCTTACGGGGTAAAGCAGTATTGTTCAGAATACAATATGAAAGTTCTTAATGTTGCTGAGAAACATGATGCTGCCAAAAATATCGCTGGTTATTTGTCACGTGGTACCAGCAGAAAGGTAAATAGTTGCAGTAAATAATTTATTATATTTTTTCAGATATAACTTATGATTATTACGTTTCTCATTGTTTAATTATGTTTATTTATTCGTATAAGAAATAAGTCAGAAAAGAAGTATATTAGTATAGAAATATATTATTAAATATTTCCATTTTATTACAGAGAGAAGGCTTATCTGTCTACAACAAAATTTTTGAATTTAATACACAATTGTGGGGCCAAAACTGCCAAATGGTGATGACATCGGTATCAGGCCATTTATTAACTTATGAATTTATAGGAGCATATCGTAAATGGCAAGGCTGTCATCCATTGACTTTATTTGATGCTCCATTGTCAAAATTATGTTCAGATGAAAGTTATATAAAAATTAAAAAGACGTTAGAGCGAGAAGTAAAATTTTGCAATGCATTAATTATTTGGACAGATTGTGATAGAGAAGGGGAGAACATAGGTTTTGAAATTATACAGGTCTGTCAAGCAGTGAAGCCAAATATTCGTGTATACAGGTGATTGGAAATATGTTCTATATTTATTTGTTATTTTATTTACTTTACAACATATCTATAATATAAATTAATATTATTTCAGGGCAAAATTCTCAGAAATTACAAAACCATCTGTTGAAAGAGCTTTACAAACTTTGGGAGAGCCAGATAAGGCAATAAGTGATGCTGTAGATGTAAGAAGCGAATTAGATTTAAGAATTGGTATTGGTTTTATTAGCTAAGATTATGTTGTTAATCAGAATGATGAATAATTGTAATTTCTATAAGAATCTTCTAATTAAAACTTAATATCATGTTATAGGTGCTGCATTCACAAGGTTTCAAACCTTAAGGTTGCAAAAAGTGTTCCCTGATACTCTTAGAGATATGCTCATCAGCTATGGAAGCTGTCAGTTTCCAACACTTGGATTTGTAGTTGAAAGATTTCTGGCGATTGATCGGTTTAAGTCTGAGCCATACTGGAAGATAAAAGTGACCGATGATCGCGATGATACATTTGTAGAATTCAGATGGGCCAGAGTAAGATTGTTTGAGAAATTGCCTTGCCAGATTTTCCTGGACATGTGTTTGGAACGCCCAGAAGCAACAGTAGAGAAAGTAGCATGTAAGCCGAAAAGCAAATGGAGACCTTTACCCCTGGATACCATTGTAAGTAATGGAATTAACGTACAAGTTTATTGTTTTATTTGAAGAATTATCGATTCAGGAACTGGAGAAGCAAGGCTCTCGTAAGTTACGTCTAAACGCAAAGGAGACTATGAAGATAGCAGAGAGATTGTACACTCAAGGTCTCATTAGTTATCCACGCACGGAAACTAATATATTTCCGAAGGAATTGAATCTGAGATCTTTGGTAGAACAACAAGTCGGCAATCAGGCGTGGGGTAATTTTGCGCAAGGTTTATTGGAATCTGGAATAAATCCCAGACAAGGGAAGAAGAGTGATCAAGCGCATCCGCCTATTCATCCCACAAAGTACTCTAACAGTTTGCAAGGTTTGTTTCTAGTCTATTTTTGTCCAATGTCAAACTGATTGGGTCAATTAATTGCAACTTGTTATCAGGAAACGAAGCAAAAGTCTACGAATTTGTGGTTCGACATTTTTTGGCTTGTCTATCGAAGAACGCAGAAGGTCTCGAAACAACGGTGGAGATCGATATCGCGAAAGAAAAATTCGTGGCTAACGGTCTCAAAATAATAGCAAAGAACTATCTCGAAGTTTATATATACGATAAGTGGAACAACAAACAGATACACTCTTACGAGCAGGGACAAGTTTTTCGGCCGACCAGCATAGATATGGTAGAAGAGAAGACTTCACCACCTAGCTTGTTAACTGAAGCCGAATTGATTGCGTTGATGGACAAACATGGCATTGGTACGGACGCCACTCACGCTGATCACATCGACACCATCAAATCCAGACAATATGTAGGTTTAACAGACAATCAATATTTCATGCCGGGCAAATTGGGAATCGGACTGGTCAAGGGTTACGACGATATGGGATTCGAAATGTCTAAGCCGCATTTGCGCGCCGATCTAGAAAAGGATTTACAATTGTAAGTTGAATTGATATTGAATTGAATTGATAAATATATAAATTTTGGCTTTTAATATATAAAATTATATTGTCACAGAATATGCCAACGTCAGAAAGAGCCGAATGAGGTGTTGCAAAATCAAATTAACAAATATCGCGAGGTGTTCAAAGTGGCGATGGAACGTGCTAATCTGATAGACGCTGCTTTAGCACATTATCTTGAAGAGAGACCTACCCAAGCTGAACAAGTACAGTTTGCTCCTGTGGAAGAAGAGATTGCTATCTTAAAATGTCCGAAATGTGGCTCCAACATGATTTTGAAGGAAAGGAGGCAAGGCAGAGGAAAATATATTAGCTGTATGGGTTATCCAACGTGTACTAATGTAATCTGGTTCCCAGAAGCTGTAGAAGATGTAGAAATTTTGAATGAAACATGCAATCAGGTAAACGCAACATTTTTCAATCGTAATATCTTGCATAAATATGTGCTTTTTGTGAATAAATTAACAAAAATAATTTGTTTTCAGTGTACAGAAAATATGCGCAAATTGAAATTCAAATTAGTGAGAAATGTTATACCTTTGTACGGTACTTCTTACACTACTTGTATAGGATGTGATACTACATTCAACGAAATGTTAAATATTAAAGAGGATTGTATCAGACAAAACAGGAGAGCAAATTACATTCAAAATAATACAAGGGATACATCAAGCTCCACCTCAAGTACGTCTCAGTTGCAAGTCACTCAGCGACAGCAACCTGCTTCCAATAGTACAAGATCTGTTTGGAATAATAATGACGTTGCCTTGAATAGAACTTCCGATACGTCTGGAAGAAGCACACAAAATCATAATTCTCAACCAAATAGATCAAATACTGTCAATAGAAATACAACAATGTCGAATAACACTAATGGTGCAAGATCTGTTCGGAATAATAACGATGTTGGCTTGATCAGAACCTCCGGCACATCCGGAAGAAGCGCACAAAATCATAATTCTAACGTTTCTCAGCCAAATAGGCCTGTTAACAGGACTGTTAACAGAAATACGAATAACAGAGGCAACTTTGATTCTTGGGATAACTCCTGGGACAATTTTAATACGGATGACTTTAACAGTTCATGGGACGGATCAAATCAGTCTGCGTCTAGCAATTCTCATAACGCAACTAACAGAAGTAGCACCTGGGGTAATATCGACAATGATGCTGAGATCATGTGTAATTGTCATCAGAACGCAATTCAGTTAACAGTGAGAAAAGAAGGACCGAATAAAGGTAAGTGATAAAGATACATAAATCTTTGTTGCACAATATGATTTGAATAATATTTATAATTCCAGGACGTCTGTTTTACAAATGCGCTAAACCGCAAGGTAGTGGTTGTGATTTTTTTCTATGGGCATCTGATGGAGCTGAACCTCAAAGTAGCGCAGCGACTTCAAGCCGTGTACCTGCGTTAAATAGGGACGATGGAAGTGCTGATCACTTTTCTCGCGTTGGTACTTCTAATAATGATTGGGGAGACTCGTCAACGAATGATGTTATGTGCCAATGTAATCAACCTGCGCGAAAGTGAGTGAACTAATTTGATATATCGATAATTAATAAGCTTTAATAAATTGAAGTCTTGGTTAACATCAATGATCAATAGTTACTGAAAATATTTTCACGTATTTATTCAGGCTGACAGTTCACAAAGAAGGACCCAATAAAGGCCGACAATTTTATGGGTGTCCAAAAGGTATGAACTCCACTTGTAACTTTTTTCAATGGGCAGATGAGAATGATAATCAAAATACGGATTGGAGCAATTCAGTTGTAAATAGAGGAAAAAATAAAACGCATAGTAGAGGCGGTAGTGTTTCCAAAAGGCCAAGACTTACCGGCAGCAAGAGAAAATGTGGAAATTGCGGAATGGAAGGTAAAATACTTAGATTATTGTACTCTTATCAGGTTCATACATATTCACACATATTTCTAAAATAGTAACATTTTATTGTAATTAATTGCATCTGTTATCATATGCCAGCTGTATACATTGCTCTTTTACACGATTCATTATTCATATAGGTCACACGAGAAACAGATGTCCAGATAATGCGATGGACTGACCAGTGAATTTTTTTTACGGAATTGTAAATAATGTACAGTTTACAATGTGATTTAAGTTATAAAAAGTTTGACAAGAACAAAGCAGTGTCAAATAACTTTAGCTTTAAGCTTTATCTTTGAGACTTAACTTGTGCCTTCTTGAACAAACTTATAAGTATAAAAGTAAAAAAGGATATGATTCAAACTTATTAAACAAATATTTAAATTAAGATTTTATAGTTATCATTTATATCCAATAATAAGACTCAATGGACTAAGCAACAACTTTTTTGTTGTGAGGAAAATTATTTTTTAGTCTCTCCAATTCTTCTTTCTGTGAGTGAGCCTCTGCAGTTGTTTGTGTTAGCTATGAAAAAATTAATCAAATTATTATAATATATGTTATAAAACTTAATATTTATAATAGTATTAGTAATGTTACTATTAACGTGTTACTATAACTTATTTCATATATAAATGATTATTTTTAGATATTAGTTTTTTAAGAAACACAAGATAAAGAATTACCATATCTAATAGTACATCAAATTTTAATTTTAACAAGTTGTTTTCTTCTTCCAGTCGTCTCACTTCTTTTTTTAACTTTTCATTCTCTTTAAAAGTACCTCCTACTTTGCCAGTTTCTAGAATAAACATTTATTTTTATAAAGTGTCAAAGGTCAAAGTACAAAAGATAAAATTTATGTGCAACATGATAAGATGTTATTCACCTGGAATCCATAGGCCAGCCTCAAAGATTGCTTCCTGATCTCCAAGACGAAGACGTATAGGGCCCACTTCTGGACCAAGTTCTTTCTCTATTCGTTTGGGACTCAAATTTTTATTTGCTAAGAAAACCGATGCCTTTCTAGTCGGCGTCTTTTTGGGAGAAAATTTATTAGAAAAAAATGGCATATCTTATCACGGTGAATTAAATAACACTAAAAGTATTCAAGACTAGCATTGACAAGAAAAGTTATCTAACTGTTCAAAGAGATTATATATATGGAAGTTTTGCTTTTAGCACAATTGCTATATATTATATTAAATATTTTTTAACATTTTACATAAAAGATATTTTACAAATCAATACATCTTATGCGATTAAATTTTAAAGCCAAATAGGTTATATATATGTTTACTTTGACGTTGCTTAGTAACGTTTTAAATTTGGGGCAGGGACAACCAATCTCTAGAGGTCTGTTCTTTATAGCTGAACTAGCTGCATTAGTTCCGAGTTTATCTTTTTCCCTCCACATTGGAAGGAGAAAGATAAACTCTGAACTAGTGCAGCCAGTTCAGCTAAAAAGAACAGACCTTAAATCAATTAATTCCTATGCAGATGTTTTTTTCTCATGTCACTATATTTTATTTACTAAATTTCACATTTTATGTTGGTAGCCTCGATCTAGCTTTGCACGTTTATCGCACGAGGGCTCCGAAGGTCGATCCGGAGTTCATCACTTTTGACGTTTCTCGGAATCTCAATTCAAATTAAATGATAATCGAGTACATGGTTCATAAGAATTGTCATGTCGGTTTTTACTGGCATGATGAGTAATACGAAATTGCGCAATATATTGGCGCGATAGAAATCTGAGTCCCGTTATTCTGTCGCGTGAAATACTACTGATTCGACGCTGCACTTCGTCACTATGGCTTGGCTAGGAACGATTGCAAACAATGTGTTGCGAAATATTGTTTTCTCGGACACACCGCCGAATGTTGTACAGGAAGTCCGACCAGAACAATACACTAATCGGCATATACATTCCCGCGAAGACGGCATCGTGCTCTACGGTCCCGGTGGTAAAAATCAAGAAAAGTATGAGATCGTCCTGCATAGACCTTGCACAGAAACTTTACATCAGGCATATAGGTATATTTTATTAGTATATTTTATTAGTATAAAAACTAAAATACTGTTTTATCTCATACAATTATAATATGCAGTGATATATAATGTAATAATGGTAAATATGTGTGCAGAATATATTTTCTTACAAGTGTTTCTTTTTCAGTCTGTTTCGATCAGAAACCTTGGAAGGAGCAGACGCAAGATTTTTAATATATAAAGACAAGGTCCCTGTACTTGTGCAGATAGTACGAGAGGTATTTATTTCAGATTTTTGTAAGAATCAATTCTATTAAGTACATCTTAAAGAAACAGTTTTATACATAGTATACTTTCTCTATTTTTTATATACCTCGTATAAAATACAAAGTGTACAAAACTTTCTGATTTTAATTTATCAAAACAGGCAAACTTTCTGTTCCAAATTTTCCCCTTAAGTTTTACTTTCATTGTTATTTTGCATGGTCAAGTAGTCAAGTGATTAGAATGTAATCTGAAATAGAACAATGTAAGATAAATTAAGTTTACGACAGAATATCAATTGATGAAGAATGGAAGAGTTAAGAATAAGAGAATTTAATATTTAATACTAATAATATTTAAAAAAATTGATAATTGCTAATTTTGATTTTATCTCTTTTAAGATGTGCAATGTTGGGAAAATACAAAAGCTCTGCGACACTCTGACGGAACATCCAACATGGACTCTAGCTCATCTTGCAGCTTACTTTGCGCTTCACGATGCATTCTTGCATGCAATCGTCAACAGTCAGCTCAATAGTGGCGATTTGGAAACCGGTATCTCGCCTCTTCAAGTCGCGGTGCAGACTAACAATCTGCGCACCGTCGAGATGCTGATAGCGGCAAAGAGCTCGCTGGAACATTTAGACCATAATGCAAATACCGTTTATCATTACGCAGCCACATCCACCAAAGAAATTATTCTTGCTCTGGGTTCGGGTCTTCCAAATAGTCTGAACAGCCGTAACAGCAACGGTCACACGCCCATCCACGTCGCATGCCACAACGACAAGCCCGAGTGTGTCAAGGCGCTTTTATTGATCGGCGCCGATGTGAATATACCCGCTTCCGAAGGTCAGCCCTCCAGTCCTGGCTACGTTGGCGATTTCTTGCACAACAAGCCGAACGTACTTCACGCGGAAGACATGAAGTTCGGTGGCACACCGTTGCATTGGTCACGCAGTCGGGAAGTAATCACTGCGCTGATCGAAACCAACTGCGACATTGACGCGCTCAATTTCGACGGACGCACCGCGCTGCATGTGATGGTGATGCGTAAACGGTTACCTTGCGTGGTCGCCCTATTGAGCCACATGGCATCCGTCAATATCGTCGATAAGGACGGCAATACGCCGCTGCATCTGGCCGTCGAAGCGGAAACCTCGGCCATCGTACAGGTGCTCCTCGGTTTCGGCGCCGATGTCGACACACGGAACTGGAAATCTGAGACGCCCAGGCACAAGGCGAACGTCGACACCACTGAGGGCAACAAGATAATTTACCTACTGCACGCGGTAGGCGCTGAGAGATGTCTGAGGGACATGATGGACTGTCATCTCGGCTGCAAGTACGGCGAGAACTATACCGGCATCGCCCCGTCGGAACCGCCGCATTACGTGCCACGAACGATTCTCGATCAGATGCTCCACGTGTCCAGTATGGACAAGATGGCCGAGTTCGGAAACGGAAAGCCGATCAAGGGCGGTAGGCTGCTTTGTCTCGACGGCGGCGGTATTCGCGGACTGGTGCTCATACAGACGCTGCTGGAGATCGAATCGGTGCTAGGCAAGCCTGTGGTGCACTGTTTCGATTGGATTGCCGGCACGTCCACCGGCGGCATCCTGGCGCTTGGTCTCGCCGCTGGCAAGTCTTTGCGAGAATGCCAGGCGCTCTATTTCCGTATCAAGGAAGACGCCTTCGTGGGTTCACGACCCTACAACAGCGAGGGTCTGGAGAGAGTGCTGAAGGACTGTCTTGGTCAGAACACCGTCATGGCGGACGTCAAAGCACCGAAGATAATGATCACGGGTGTGCTCGCTGACCGGAAACCTGTGGATCTCCATCTGTTTCGTAACTACGACTCGCCCAGCACGTTGCTGAAGGTGCCGGACAACACGATGTTCAAGCCAACATTGTTACCGCAAGAACAGTTACTTTGGAAGGCGGCGAGGGCGACCGGCGCCGCGCCGTCGTACTTCCGGGCGTTTGGTCGATTTCTGGACGGCGGTCTGATTGCTAATAATCCCACCCTGGACGCCATGACGGAGATCCACGAGTACAATTTGGCGCTGAAGGCCACTGGTCGCTCGAACGAAATAATACCGCTGTCGTTGGTGGTCTCGCTCGGCACAGGACTCCTGCCGACCACATACGCCTTGAAGGAGATCGACGTTTTCCGGCCCGAGAGTCTCTGGGATACCGCCAAACTTGCTTTCGGCATCTCGGCCCTTGGCACGCTGCTGGTCGATCAGGCAACATCGAGCGACGGCCGAGTGGTCGATCGCGCTCGCACCTGGTGCTCCATGATAGGCGTGCCGTATTATAGATTCAATCCGCAACTAACGACGGAAGTCGCCATGGACGAGAAGAGCGACGAAATCCTGGCGAACATGATCTGGACCGCGAAGGCGTTCATGCACGCGAATCGAAACCAGATGAAAGAACTAGCAGCTATTATTGGTCGCGATACCAATTCCGAGAACGACTAAATATCTTATCATCTCTCGGAGAAAAGAATACCTGATTGCAAAACTGTCGCACACAAACGTACACATTCAATATAGTAATATACACTACGCAAAAAATTAGGGGAGCACTTTAAAACCTGCAAATCTTGTCGATCTTTAAGAGGCTGTATCTCAACTTCCAGAGATCGTAGGATAATTTTTCTGCGTGCGTTTTGAAGGTTTCTATTTTAAAATGGCTTGAGTGATATTTTCCATTCCATTAAACTATTTTTTTTGTGAAGATCAAAAGCAGATAGTGTTAGAGTCCTGGAAATTTCATAACTTTGCAACCTTCCACGGGCAAAGCAAGGACGAGGCGAAAAATGTCACCACATCAATTTTAAAGTCGGGAACTTTCCCTTTAAAGTGCCGTTGCCCATCATGTGCGTGTGTGTGTGTGTGTGCGCGCGCGCGCGGTATTGCCGCCTCTTCGGCGAATTACCTCAAGCAATCTATTTCTCATATTGATACATCTACTGATTTCGTGTTGAGGAATTTCCTGCCAAACTTTCTGCTAATGTCGTTGGCTGCCTTGGATGACTTCTCAACTACTGACGACCCATCAAGTCCCAGATGTGTCCCAATACTTCATATTGAATAGTGCGAGCGCGCGCGCGCGTACACACACACACACACACGCGCGCGCGCGCGCGCGATGTGCAAATTCCGACCGAGCAACTTCCTCGTGATAAATATCAGGTAACGCCGGTGGTATTTAACAAAAATCTTGCAAAATGCAGGGTTTACTTTGGAACCCGATAACTCAGCTTATAGGCATGCTACAGTAATTTTCGTTGCGACATTTTAAAGGGAAAGTTCCCGAATTTAAAACTGATGTGGCATTTTTCGCCTCGTCCTTGCATTCCCCGTGGAAGGTTACAAAGTCATGAAATTTCCAGGACTAACACTACCTGCTTTTAATCTTCACAAAAAAGATAGTTTAACGGGACGGAAAATATCACTTAAGCCGTTTTAAAGTGAAAATTTCACCTTTTAAAACGCGTCAAGAAAAATTATCCTGTGATCCCTGGAAGTTGATATAGCCTCTTAAAGATCGATAAAATTTGCAGATTTTAAAGTTCTTCCCTAATATTTTTGCGTAGTGTACATCGACGATTTACCGCTGGTTCGGTTGATGATTACATAATTAGTCTAGAGATTCACACGTAGCCGATATTAACTATTTTTTCACTGTTACCTGGATTGCTCGACGCGGATGTCTCGATTAACATGTAAGTATTTTCTTTTTGTTCACATATCATAAACAATATAGCAATGTGCGAGACATTTACGCGTATTTGCATATTCCAGTAGACAAGATGTTAGTCCAAGTAAAATGAAATTTTTTTCTGATAGGAATTTCATGAAACGTATAACATTTTTTTATACGTATAACTAGTAAATTCTAGTCTAAATCCCATTTTTGTCATTTTTTTGTTTTTTTTTTGTTTGTTGAATAATTGCAAATAGTCTCGAAGAATGTAAATGTTACACTGTAAGTCAAAGCAACATCTATAGATAGATCTTATTTATTTGTATCGTTTACAGAGAAGAATAAATAAAAAAAAGAGATTACAAAGCAATCGGATAATATACTTCACGTTTTAGAATATAGTTTATCAATTTTGTCGTTAAGTACAACACGCGCTATCGTTTAAGTACTTCACGGCATTTCGTTACGCGATACTCGATTTATCTAAGTCTCAATGGGTCACTTATGGACAATTATCTATGAAATTTGTTAAGTGATAAGACAAAATTCTCAAAAGAAAGTGAAACAATTCGCGATCAGGGGAAGTGACGCGGTCTTAATTTTATGCAGAAACACCGTCTCGTTTACTTTATTCATAAAATGCGTCCGTAACAATTGTCTAAAATTTTCTCTTATTTATCAAACGTCTATATATATATATATATATATATTTCTAATATCGCGAGATAAAGTCTTTTGATCGCTTTGTTCTTTCAATTTTAATTAAGTTCAGCAAGATTTAATTACCGTAAAAATGCGTCACCCCCCTATCGGGGGCCCATGTAGTACGGTGGTTGCGCCATGGACGCCGATATGTAAGGGTAAAAGGAGGGATGCGAGGACATACTCTGCGGCTGATAGTCGTTCTCCTCGCCGTGGACGCCGTATCCTTCCGCGGCAGGATAATATTGTCCGTGCACACAGGCGTACGGTGCCTTAGCGGCGGCGGCGGCGGCGGCAGCGGCGGCGCCGCTCATCTCCGCGGAGTATTTCAGACCGTCCGGGTATCCCTTAGCCTCCGAATACTTGGGCAAGTCGTAGGGCTTAGTCTGTAGATCCGGATACTTGGTCGCCGCTGAATCGTGATGATGGTGGTACTTGGCGCCGGTCATCTCGTGATGATACTTGGCGCCGGCCATCTCGTGATACTTGGCAACCTCGTGGCACTTCGCCTCGGCGTAGCTCCTCGCCGTCGTCTCGTACGTCAGTTTATTAGGATGATCGGGATACTTGGCGACCGTCTCGTTGACCCAGACCGGTCTGGCGAGGTCGTAAGCGCCGGATTTCGGGTCGTGATAAGTCGCCGGCCGCTCGTACGCCTTCACGCCGGCGTCCGGATACAGGCGGGTGTAGGTGCAATCCGTGGAGCCGGCCGAAGAGTCGTGCGAGGTCCCCGGCGACGGAAGTCCGCCTCTGTGCACGATGATGCCCATCTGATCGTCCGACTTAGGCTTCCTCCGGCGCGGTTGATACTACGGAGAATATTACATTCATTACGCTTGACTCCCAGTTTCACTTTTTGCAATCGCATTGAATTTGTTTTCATTGAATTATAACAAACAAAAATCGTACGAATTATTTTTAGACATTATATAATTTAAAATTTGTCGTTATTGTTATGTTATATTCGCGCGATACGATTACAGATCTTAAGCGATCTCCAACGAACTGACATTGTACGCATTTTCACGCTCGATAAACAAATGCGAAAACATGTATGCGAAACATTTATTAAAAAAAAATTAGTTGGACAAAAATATATAATGTAATAAACTCATTGTAGATAGATTTAAAAAGATAGTCACTCTGTAACAAAATCGATTGAAATCCGTAAAAGCTCCGCTTTTCCGTGATACATCGCATCTTCGCCGCCGTCGCTGTCGGTCGACTTTCTCATTTGCGTAGAGCGGCGACACGGATGGCTTCATCGCGAGGAATTCATTTCCCCTTCTCGTAAATCATCGCCGGCACTGTGGGATTTAAATCGCTCGTACGATCGGACCTCGATTAACCACTCGAGCGCTTTGAAACGAGAATGCGGATTGCGCGTGCTAATTCGTTCCGCTACCCCGTAAATCAGGCCGCTCGCATCTTGTGCAATTTTGTAACACGCGTTCGTTGCATTTTTTAACGATGCGCGATTACTCTGTCCCCTTCATTTCCGCTCGAATACGCGATACGCTCACTCCTTGTCATCTCAGTTACATTGCCAATTAGCTAATTGATTGGGTGAACAATAAAATTCACAATTAATAAATTAAATCCTCACCTTATAGTGCGGATGTTGCTTCTTGTGCGCATTCCGCAGTCTCTCAGCTTCCTCAATAAACGGTTGTTTCTCGCCGTCGCTCAAGATCCTGCGGCAGATAAATCGCAATCTCGGTTATTGATGCTAATCGAGAAATACCGAGTTCTTCGCGAGTCACCGACGAGACGATTTTATATAAAGAGATAGGATGATGAGAAATTTCTTTTATCTTATTATTAGCAATATTTTAGTATCAATGTGCTAGTTTCGATGTTGAATATTTTTTAACGATATTGTATTCTTCTATTCGAGTATTATTGAAAAATATAACTAGATTTCTTCAATTAGTTTCCATTCACACACACACACACACACACACGAAAATGTCTAATTGAAATTGAATTACCTCCACAATTTTCCCAGCGTCTTCGACAATTCGGCGTTGTGCAATTGCGGATACTGGTCGGCCAGTCTTCGCCTTGCCGCTTGCGCCCATACCATGAAGGCGTTCATGGGACGCTTCACGTGAGCGCTTCTTCGTCCGCCGGCGCGCGAAGTTACCGGAAGTAGTGTCCAGTCGTATCCTGCAAAGACGTGATCTTTACACAATGCTTATGCTAGAGAAAAGCGGCTCCACTTTAATTTTTGATAAATGCATTCACAATTCGAACACGAATTTAACGAGTGTTTCTTGAGTTTCAGAAGTATTCCCATGGTGTTAAATTTCAGATTGTTTGTTTAGAAATTTTTTTAATAATTAATAGAAAAATGTGGACTTTGTGTCTTGATTATTCGACTTAAAAGCGACAATCACGAAGCGTACGTTACGAATGTTACATGTGATAGCGGAATTTTCTTATCTTGTCGTAGATACGGACCCTTCTCGTGGGCGCCGGAAGTAGTCCTGTCCGCGGAATCGGTTCGTAAAGAAATACGAGATAAAGCTACACCTGTATCCTCGCGGCTCGTGCGACCGATTCGACCGCATTTGTTAGCGCGCCGCCGGTTTCTCTCTTCTTCCGTCTCTCTATTTAACTTTGTTGTAAGCGCGATAGGGCTTTTATGGCTTATACTTACGAAATCGTACGAAGGGAGAAAGAAGGGGGAGTAAAGAAAAAGAGAGAGAGAGAGTAAGAGGAAAGATTAGGACACTTTATCGCTTCTCATTACGCATTTATATTTATAAACATTTTTATTGATACTTAGACGTTTTTTTTTTTCACACACAAGTTATGAAACAATTTGGATTTTTCTAAAAAATTATTATAATATTGAATGTATATAAGCGTCCACACGCTTGAAGAAAATCGAGAAAATTTTTAAAGAAAAAATAATCTACAAATGTAAATTTTTGAGCACTTTTTTTCGATTAGAAATGAATATTATCTCTCAAAAAAAAATTAATTAAATTTTTAAAACGTTGAATAAGTTTCGTGTACTTATGTTTCTCGTATTTCATATAAAAACATTTGGACCGTTAGGATGTAGGCGTAATGTGTCAGTAGGTATGGCGTTTATTACGAAATAGCTCTACGAAATATTAAGTGACGTAAGTGCTCCGAATTGCCGAAAAATTCCGAGCAGCTTAATAAGGATTCGGCTCCGGATGTGTTCCTACATTTCACTTCGTGGGAAAAAAGCCCCGAGCAAGTCGAGGTCGTAAAACCTTGTCTCCCTTCGAACAAATGTATACCGACTTATGTAAATCTTCCCTGCGCTCTCACCGCAGTCTCCTAAATCTTAAATCTCCGGCCTAAAAGCGGTTTAGCCTAAATTGGAGGAGGAAGACCAAAGGAAACGAAGAAGAGCAAATGCGTCAAAGATTGATGAAACTCACCCCCTCCATTTTCGCCGTTTCCTTTCCTCGCTAATTATCGTGTTTTAAAAAAAAGAGAAAAAAGCATTACAATGTGGAAATTTGATGTGAGAAAGACATCGCGAGTTCGTGTGTGGCAGCATCATCGCCGGAGCGGATTCAGTCTACACGAGTCGAAGTCCAAGAAACGTTTGTGTTTCTAATTGTCGTTAATCATCGGAGGGCGAGTCAACGAAGTAGCAAACGAAGAAGGGTGATATGGGCGAGACTTTGGCAGGGACGACGCACGTGACGAAGCGTCAAGTCAGGGTTCGGGAAGCTGGTGGGAGCTAATTACCGTAGATCCACGGTCCACTTGCGCGGCACTTGTGTCGGCACTTTTAAGCGTCCGGCGGAGGTCCTTCGTCGACGCCTGCGTCGATAGCCTCGGCCGAAATATGATTTTTACACGGAAACGCGGAAGGGCTTTTGCGGAGAACGACAGGAATAGAGGAAATTTCGCGCGAACCGGGCGAACAACCCTAGGGTCGATTAGGCATACAAAAAGCATCGGCTGTCGCTGAACAGACGGTCGCAGTCCCCAAAGCCGATCCCTGTTGAAGATTTGATGCTACACTGACAACTGAGGTGAATCCCTCAGTTACAAAAGCCGTAGAATGATTAAAAAAATATGTTATATTCGCACATCTCGTTGTTTTTAGAATAATTTTTGCGAAAAAAAAAGAAAAAGACTCTGGAGACTTTATATTAATTTATCTCGCTTGCAACTTCTGCTTGAAAAATTTGTGATTTTAACTATATATAAGATTTCTAAATTGTTTTGTGTTCAGTTCAATTGTAAAATGAAAGGCAAAATAAAGAGAGAGAGATTAGAAACGAAAACAATGTTGATTATCGGAGAGTCGATGGACCTCTGGCGCCGAACACGAACGCATCCCCGGTGATTAAGTGATAAATCCTAATTACGGAATCGAGAGAGCGGCCAGCCAAGTCGCCCTTAATTTTAGATTCTCTCCATCTCCTTCCTGCTTTAATTTTCGGTTAATTACGGGCGTAACGACTCGGTGAATCGGTGAATTGGCGGCGCGTACGCGAGTGACCGAGAACTCGCGCATTTTTCCAGGATTGTGAATGGCTTTTGAGTGGAGATCAGGACCATAGTTAGTGCGTCCGTGCCGTGTTACAATAGGCGGGTTGTGTGGCCTGGTGAATGAACCGGTGTGCTCGGGCATGCCGGCCGTCAATGGCGACCTGTCGTCGACTCTTGCTACATTAACTCCTTTACAAATCCGCCTGTTACAAATCCCCCGCCTTTAACGAGGCCCTCTTAAACGCTTCGACACCTCGTCCCGTCGATGTTTGACATTACGTAGCTCGTCGCCACGTGCTCGACGATTCTGTCGAGACCGCCGCCCGATCTCGCGATGCAACGAGAATTCACTCCTTCAATCAACGCGCGATATTGATACACATCAGCGAAACATCAGCGTCCACAATTGAATAAAATAAAATACGTGAAATTAAGAATAAATAAGACACCAGACTTCGAATTGAATAAATCGGCACAATTTTACAACATCGCAAGATTACGCGAAGCATGTGTATGCAAAATATATCCGTGTCATTTATGATCATATATCGAGAGCCACCTGTATTTTCATCGAATGGGTGCTTTGTAACGAAATGCGCATCGCTTAGCGTCGCGATAAAGTAAATATTTAAACTCGACGCAAATACAGACTTGTCTCTTCTCGAGCTATACGATAAACTATTTGGACGATACATTCCTGCGGTCGATGTTTACGAGCATCTCGCGCGTGCCATCGCTTTTTCTTTTTCGAGCTCAGGCACTCTTAGCGTAATATTGTACGGCCAAATATTTTTTCTCGAATTTGTGACCATCAAATAAAAACAAATTCTGCAATATACTTTGAGAAACGATCAATTCATATCATGTAAGATTCTTCAAATGTAGTCTTCAAATTCAAAGTTTATGTTTATTAAATTTACATAAAAAAAAATTGATAAAAATGAAGAAAAATTTAGCGAACAATTTATCCGGGGATATTAATAGTCGTGGATCCTAGCTAGGTTCGGAAAAGCGATATATCTCACCGTGACTTTTCCTTCTAATCCGCAGCATCGACTAGACCGCATCAATCCTTGTAATTATTCGCGTCGCGATTGTCTAACATCGCGGACGAAATTAGCCCGGTAGAGATATCATCCCCGGCGATTTCCACCTGTCTGTCCGTCCATCCGTACCGCCAGCCCCCGGCGAACGACGACGTGCGTCTCTGGCGAAATTTCGTCGTCGCGAAGACCAAGTGTCTCGACGCGTGTCATAAATCATGTCCCGCGGTCTCCGCGCGCGTATCGTCCCTCCCCGTTTCTCCCCTCCGCACTCGCGGCGACGATGTTTCAGATTTAATTCGGTACTAGCATAATTAGTGGCGGTGACAGGCGCGTTCGCCTCGTCTCGCTCTGTTCGCAGCACCTGCCGCGCTCTCGAATTTTCCCCGGAGGAGAGAATCGTCTCCTCTCGCGAGGCCGATCCTCAGCTATATTTCTCCGCCTCGCCCGGCCCCGCTCCGCTCTTTCTCCCCCTTTTCGAGTTCTACCCCTTTCCGCTTTCTTGCACTCGCGAATATCGCCCGGATAAATCTGCGAGCGGCCAAATGGGGGAAAGAACGATGCGGCCGACGACGCGGGCTTTCAGCGCCAATTACCAGTGTGTGCTTTCTCCCCCCTAAACGACTCCATAAAGACGGACGGACGCGGGCGAAAAACAACGAGCGGCAAATGGACGCGTGCGTTTTGCGTGCTATTTCGAGGGATTGATATTCAGATTTAAATTCAGATTTAAATGTCTCGGCGATGATGCGTATCTCACGTCATCACAATAAATGTTATTTTAATATTTTAGAAATAATTTTTTTCAATTTGACTTTTTTTATGAACTTCGTAACTTGCCTTTGAGATCGCGAATAGTTCTTTATTATTATATGAGACAACAAGAATAAGAATTGACAATAAAATCTTAATCTGAATCAAACCAGATTACATAAACGGAAGACTTGTCTTCGAGGTGTTAATTTTGAGTCAAGCGCCCGACGATTTTAAAGCGCAGTGTTTATTTTTTTTTATTGCTATAATTTTCTTGACAGAAATTGTCCCTCCTTGAGATAACAAAAATACGTATTTTTTATTTAAGTATTCGCCATCGCTATTTTTTAAATTCCTTTTTTATGGCTGCAATTTTTTTTCTAATAGATTTACGCTACATTATGATTACGTTTCGAGATGCTGTAAAAAAATTAAAAGCCAAATTTTAGCAATGTTAGCAATTTAATCAAATTAGCTGCCAATCCGTGAACATTGCATTTTGTTTACTAAGAAGTTATATACGCGTACCTTGCAGTAGCTTGCCCACAGCATCGTCCAAGGAACTATTGTTGCCGTGTTCGTTGCTCGATGAACTGGCCTTACCCTCCATCGGCGATAAGCCGTTGTTATTGTGATGGGTCTCCATTTTCAATCTCGTTAAATCCGACGCACTCTCTTCACTGACGTTCACGATCACCGAAAACTATCGCACTTTCAACATACGAACGTCACTCAATAATCAATAATAAGTCGATTGGCAAATTTCGACGGAAGATAAAGCGCATTTCGTGGATTTTTGTCGCAGATAAAACGAGATTCTCAGTAAGGGATCTCCGTCACAGGAAGAGAGAGGCTCGATAATTAATCGAGGGTTATCAGGATGCAATTTATCGGGTCGGATAGGTCGCCGAATCTTCTTTATGGCTACTTAGTCGACCCCATGCGACCTTATCCGCATCGGAATATATTTCGATATTAAACCGATTCCTGTGAACTCGTAGATCACTCGGAGATTCACTTCGTTATCAGCTCCGGGAAATATTAGACAGAAATTGACGCGACGACGCGATGTGTCGAGAAGGGAGACGCACTCTTCGGAATCTTCCCGGACTACAGTTCCTCGACTTATCTCTCATCGATCGTTCTCGAGGATACTGATCTCACGGATTTGCCTTCTCGTGTTCGACACGAGACGACTCGAGAGTCGTTATACGGCGCGTTACTTCGAGGTTCCAAATTGAGCCGAGGAGAATTCGTCCTGGTCGACGTCGAGATCGCCGAGTCGCGTCATAGTTAAATCCACGCCGTCTCGTCCGTCGGAGAATTTTTATCGCAGTTATCGTCTCTCTCCCTCTCCCTCTCTCTCCGTCTCTCCCTCGTTATCAATTATCGAGGAAATGTAAACTAATACAGTGTTGTATCTCATCCGATTTTACTCGCGTCATCGGTGGACACGGAGGTCGCGAGAGACACGGTAGCACGGTGGTACCAACGAATCAGGTAAACTCCGATGGCCGACTGATCGGCCGAGAGGAGAGAGGCGACGGTGGACCCCGACGATAGATTCAGGGAGGCGAAGAAACCGTCCGCGCGGCACGGCCGCACAGGTTGGTCCACGGGAGGAAGAACGGGCCGAGGCGAGACGAGACGAGCACACGTCTGGCACACGCACCGAAACCGTCGGACGGATGGCAGACCCGTCCGCGGAGGCGGTTCCGTGGACCACCTACCTCTGGTGGGGGGATAGACACGTAGGATCTTCCTCCTTTCTCTTCTTCACCCCTCTCTGCGCCCTCTCTCCCCCCGTCGCTTCCTCACGCCCGCGCTTGCATCGACCTTCTCGTATATCCTGCGCGCGATCCTGCCTTCTGTATCCTTGCGTCGGCGACGGCTGATGTTTGTGGAAAACGCTACGAAAAAACTTTAAAAGTTACTTTTGTTACTTTAATAATTAAGAAAGTTTTAACAGATTTAAATAAGGATGTACGTGAACATTCTAAAAAGATTGGTTGTTTAATGATAAATTATTCGGCCAATCGATGTTTTCTGAACAAAAGTGACTTTTGAGCGATTGAGGAAAATCTTTTCGCGAATTAAACTTTCACTAAATGGATGACGAAATAACATTTTTTAGTTATTTAATTTCAAATAAAACTGACTTGCAAACAATTTCTTGAGGAGAAAAAAGTATAACACTGTTTTATGAAATCATCTCTTGGATTTTTCTAATAATATAACTCTCTTCGTGCGTCGCAGACTTCACAGATCCATAGATAATCACGTATCCGGCTTACGATATGTACTCCGCGACGAAGCGTCGACTAATTACCGCCCGTTTGTTTTCGCGGACATGTGGATCGTACGTGAAAGGTCGTTGGAAAGTAGACCTCTAGTTTATTGATCGTCTGCGAATAAGTGATTAATGGCATGGATGCGCGAAGAATACCTATGCGTACAAATGTGATTAGAAATGATTAGATAATTCAAGCTATTTTTTTTTTCGATGCAGGCGCAAAACACTTGTAACGCCATTAGAATGTGTTTTCGCTAAAACCAAACGTTTTTTAATTTACTCAAACACTTATCTTTTTGAAACACTTTTATCTGTACGCAAATTCGAGAATAACATCGGACGAATACTTGCATCGAGATGTACGCCCTCCGTCGCGCGATTGGAATGCGAAAAAGTGCGCGCGACAAAATAGAACAGCTTGATTTTCTCGGGGAAGAAGAGCGACCGAGTCCTGAAGTCGTTCCCTCCTTCGTTCGACCGTTCCGGCGAGCCTAATTATACAACGAATTTAATGAATGAGTGAGCTAGCAAATACAGTGGCCTATACAAACCGCGGGGCGTATATAAACCACGGTCAATGCCGTGTAGCGGCTTTTGTGGAAAGATCAAAGAGAGCATCTCGCTCGCACTTTGCAGGATTAACTCGCACTGCCGGTGCGTAAACGCACGCGAATGCGTGATGCCCTTGCGACCTCACGGATTAAAAATTATGATATTTTTTATCCTAGTGCTCTACGCCGAGCAGAGAGACAACTCTAGCGAGTGTTGTCGCTATCTAATTAGAATCTTCCGTATTAGTATGCAAATGATTTATACTGAAACGAGTGAGAATTTCGCAGACTTATCGTTATGTATTATTTTATCACAATTTGTATTTAAAAAAATTTTAAATTATTATAAAATTTATTTTTCAGCGAAAACATTCAACACAGATAGAATTAAAATTTTAAATATTGCAATTAAAAAATGCATTCTTCTTTCTGCAATTGACCTCAGATCGCGCATTTTATTGTACATTATTTTGTGGATAAAAAAGTATAACAAAATTAATATTAAATATTTTCTAATTGTTAAAATAAAAAATAATTTCGCAATTTATGTATTTGAGTTTACTGCGGCTATTTGAAGAATAGAACTATACTATGTAATACATCTTAATAGAAATTAAATTAATGATTCTGGTGATTGACGATAATTTTAGAATGAGTCGAATAGAATCGTTGTGGTAGTTAATAGCCTTCAGTGATTTCGTTCTTCGACATATCGTTCATCCGCAGATTTTCCAAATGTCTGGCCAGGCGTGCGCTTGCATTATGTACCGGTGGTGCGTCGGCAATGCAAATTTAGCCCGACGGGAACAATAATATTGATTTCACGAAGTCGGAATTTTGCTCTTGTCGAGATAAACATCCCGGCGCGCGCACGTGGCGTCAATATGCGCCTTTCGTTCCTCCGTATACGTAAGCGAGAATTCGTTTCAGGGCCATTCCTGAGCCGCAGCTTCAGCGTTTCCTCTCAAGGAAACATTCGCACGCGCTTCGCATTCGTGTCTTTTTATTTTGAAAGATTAGTACTAATCCTTGCCAATAAATATTTTCAAAGTTGCATCTCAGTTAGCAAAAAGGAATTAAAACAATGTAGATTTAAAAAGAAATAAAACAAAATCTAGTAAAAATATTAATAACCACAATCAGAAGATATAATGGGTAGAGTTCTGAAAGAATCAACTTTTCGATTTTGCTGTCGTTTGGTATACTACTGTATTTTGGCGCTCTGATTACGAATATGATAATGAAAATTACCGACACGATCATTTTCAAGGTCAAAACTTAAAAAAACTAAAAAATTATCGTTTTTTTAAACATTATTTTAAAAATATTGATGTAACAAAGAAATGTTTCAAATAAAAGTTGTAGCTCTTGAAAAAATACATCATTTATGTCCTAGGCATTTTTTACATAGAACCAATATTTTTCGAAAAAAATGAGATAATAGGAAGGACATCCCCCTCCCCCCGCACTATGCTGTGGGTCCCCTCCGAGGGTACGAGCTTCCGCTCGTACGAGCATTTCCTTCGCTAACCTCTCCCGCTCCTCGATCTCTTTCGTGTCGAGCGTCATCATCGATGTTTCGAGAACAACTCTGTGGTACCGCAAACTCGTTAAAACCACGTCTGTATCGTCTATCGCCAAGCGCACTATTCTTGTCTGTCACTAAAAAACCGTACTTTTGCTGCCAACATGCGCGACACAATGTACAAAAATCTTCGTACGCCATGTCCGTATTTATATGATCGTTGTAGACATGTTAAAGTACCGTTGATACCGTCCTGCTTGAACAGAATCAACAGGTTCGCGTTGTCGCGTACAAGATGTTTAGATATCCTCGCGTATATTGATACTGACACTAATAGAAACAATCGACTTTGGAATGTCGGAAAGTATTCTTGTATCGCATTCTTACTTCTATTCCCTACTTATCACAGGTCGTCATCCAAGATAATTCTAGAATTTGAAGGTCGCTCAGAGGTACTACCCAGAGGTAAAATTATCCAAAAATGTTAAGTAACCGATATTATCAACCAGCCTGAACTGTCTTTCGATGTACTGATATTTCATATTACAAGCTCATCGATGTACTGATATTTCACATCACACTTTACAAGCGAAGCGAGGTTTGAACCCAAGTCTATGTGTATAGTTTTTGGTGGTGGAGTCCCCCGCAGGGGGGTGGAACAGCATAGTGCGTGGGAAGTGTCTTTCCTATTATCTTATTTTTTCGAAAAATATTGGTTCTATGCAAAAAATGCATAGGACATAAATGATGTATTTTTTCAAGAGCTACAACTTTTATTTGAAACATTTCTTTGTTACATCAATATTTATCAAGATAATGTTTAAAAAAACGATAATTTTTTAGTTCTTTTAAGTTTTGACTTTGAAAATGACCTTGTCGGCAATTTTCATGATCATATTCGTAATCCGCGCTCTAAAATACAGTAGTATACTAATCGACAGCAAAATCGGAGAGTTGACTCTTTCGGAACTTTATCCGATATAATTTAGAGAAATGCAACTTTGAAAATCATGTTTAAAAAAGCAGAATTATAGAAGCAAAATTTGTACAATGCATTTTCTAAGGTTTGTAGCAAGGCGCAAAAGAAATGATCGTATGATTTGAAGGAATCGCCTGGATATCGTTTTTATTCTATGATTTAAAAATGCTGAATTAGATTATTATTAGTTTTATTACAAATTTAATTAGTTTTATTACACAGTTTTGCAATGAATAGTAAGATGCCAAATAAGATTTAAGTATTTAATTGATAATAGAAAGAAATTAAGGATATAAACTTCACTTTTATTAATCTCGATAAGATATTATGCTACTAATTATACGTTATCAATCACAGATATATAATAATTCGAAACGCTAAGGAGAAAAACTATTGAGAGGGTCCGACAATTGACTCTATCGAAGGGATATACGGGCGACTCTCGCGCGCGGGTCGCCGCGATAAAATAATAATTCCAGCAATTCTTGGGGGTCGGCGGCGTGCCGTCGGGCACTTGAAAGGATCCCGAGGTTGGGGGACGGGGGCGGTCGAGCTGGGTACCCGACACATGTAGACCCCCGGGTGGCGAGCACCGCGACTCGCGCTCGGACCCCCAACGGAGACACGAGCTTCGACACATTCTGCGCCGTCATCATCGCGTCTCGGCAACGTCATTGTGTAGTACATGAGGCCGATAGTTACACGTGTAGTCATGTACGCGCGTCCACTCGATTTCTCGAATCGCGATTAAGCTATTTTCTCAAGAATGTTGCAAATTTTACCAAAAGAAAAAAAGCGGAAAAGTGAAGCATAGAAAAGCATTGTCTTTGATTTTGCTGCAGCTAATGATCGAGGGTTTCGATGCATTTTGTTCTAATTAAAAAAAATAAATCTTAGGGAAATTTAATTATGATTAACCTTCTCGAATTCTAAAAAAAAATATTAGATTTCTCAATCCTCTTAGAGAACTCAATTTCTTAATTGTCTCAAAACTAGGTTGACGCTGTTAAAAGAACACATTTGCATAATTAAATAATCGCATCCAAAATCTATTTAAATCAATTTTAGGAAGAATATAAAATATAATGCAAGTCTTGCTATAAAAAATACCGAACCAAGTCCTACTTTCACTCGGAATGCACTTCGTATATTTAGAATGCGTTTTCAGTGGTTCAGATATGCGTATTATGATGACTTACAAATCAAACACCGTCAAAATATATCCTTCAGATTAAAGAAATCATAATTGTTACAAATATATTCTTAATAATACATAAATAGATTACGGTCGGCTTAATATTAACAAAAAGTTACAATACATGAGTTAATGCAAATTAATCAATTAGTAACATTAGACTACATGCATTTTCCAACTTTTCTTTATACTTTCTCTTAGAAATATTTGCAGTCTTTATTCATTTTAAAATATAAAACGATACTAATGAATTAATAAATGTACACTTTATTTACAAAAATTGACCATAGGAATGCAGGTTTGTTCCTCTTATCTGTGCATCTTCCACGTCGTAGACTTAATTTTCATTGTGAAACTCAGTCGATTCCTATTGCTTTCTAATTAATTTGCTTGGACTTCCCGGACTAAAGCTTACGAAATCGTTAATTACAACCGACTTGATTAATGACTTGAGCTGCCTTCCAAAGACAGTTGCTTGCGCATATCCACACGCGTCAAGATTTATGTGCGCTGGGAGATGCAAACGCAATTTTAACGCGCAATTAACAAATCTGAAGGAGGACATCCTTGCTGACCTATAAAAGTAAAAGAGAGAGAAAGAAAGAGGATAAATTGCTTTCTTCCTTTCATCAAAGAAACATACAATTTACGTTACGTATTTTTTATTAATAATAGCATAATTACGAACTAAACAACTAATTATATTTTAGAGATATTTTAAATATTTTATAGATTTAATTACTTATTATAAAATTGATTTAAAATACGACTTATTCTATTTTAGAGGAATGAGAATTATAATATGATTATTACAACAACGAAATTTTGCTAATTTTATGAAAAACATTTATATATAATAAATTTTGTAAATTATTCATAAAGTTTATCAAAGCCGAACAATTTTTAATTTATAGAGTTGCTGTTTATTAATTTTGTATGCACTATAATCCCATTTTTCAATAAAAATATCCACAGCTAGTTTCTTTTGTATATTTACGATATTTTTTTGCATCGTTTGCTGAAAGCAAATTAACATAAAAATATGAAAGACAAATCCATAACTTACGAAATTGATTTTAAATGTAAAATTATATCAAAAATGGCTCGTGCAAAATGTGAACTCATTTCGTTCTTGTGTTGGAACTTTCTTCATTGAATATAAAATGTCACTTTAACGCGAGTGTGCGGTCGTCGCGAGGATCGGTCGATGAGTGCAACATGCAACCATAAGTGCAACCGGTCTTGATGCAGTGCGTATTCTCCTCCTTGTGACGTCATAATTGCAACCGACCGGCGGACCAATCGACGGTACCGGGTGTGGGAAGAAGAGAGATCGCGAACGGTAACGACGGAGTGTTTGAACGAAGAGAAAGGGAGAAGAAGGAGGAAGAAAGGAGGAAAGGAAAAAGACGAGGCAAAAGATAGGTGGAGCAGAGCAGAAACCCGATTGGTTCTCCTCCCGGAGGATATCGTAACCATGGAAACTCTCTTGTCAGCAAAGAGTGGCGAGAGCACCGAAATATAAATGGAATGACCGGCAATCCGACAGCACGAAGAAGGAGGGAATCGCGGTGTCACGAGGGAGGGGAAATGATCTGTCCGACAGAACGAAAGAGAAAGAGATCGCGATATTATTATTGTCTGATTGTCGGTTAGCGAGTGATCTCGGTGAGTGCAAAAAAAAGGCTGCAGGATGCAGCTACGTTGCAGTCGGATGGTGCAACCTTATTGCAAAAGATCTTTTCTTCAGTCAATCAGAAGATGGCAATATTTGCTTTGACTCTGTCCTTGGCGCGATATCAATATTTAGCATTAAAATATGAAATGTTAGAAAAAGCCTAAGAAAGTAGTCTCATCGCGTATTAATGAAACTTGTGTTAAAGGTTCAAGTCAACGTCTGAAAAGTCGAACAAATATTTAAACACTGCAAAATACCTAGCCGACAATTCGCAAGCGTAAAAAAACACACGAAAAAAATTAAATTAAACTTTGTTCTTGTATTAAAAGACTCTAAAAATTAATTTTTAAGAAACAAGAGTTTTGACCGTGCAATAGCTTTATATTAATTTTTTAATTATAATAATTATTTTATAATTATGTACATTATTAACAAGTAACAAATTTATTACTTCTTGTGTCTACCAAAATTGATCTTTTCGTTGTTAATTATGATTTTTATTGTAATTATAACGTTGAATTTTCGACGTTGACAATATAAGCATGATATAATGAGACGAAAAACGCCGCGACCTCGTGGGTGCCGCCTTATTTGGCTGCGTTCCTTGTGCGCGTACGCACTCCGGAGCCGGCAACGATCCAACACCACGAACGTAAGATACGCCGAGCGAATGCCTCGTGCCTCTCCCTCGTCTCGCTTCCACTGCGAGATGTCCCGGCCACTTCCACCGCTGCTGCTGTCGGGGCCGTCGTCTCCCTACCCGATGCACGCGACGGACGGCTGAGGCTCGCGGAGCAACAAGTGTTACCAGCTGCCTTCGCCCCGCCCCCAAACGAGAACGATGTCAGCCTCGTGGTGGAAACTGCCCCGAGGCGATACAACCACCTCACTCGAGCGCCGATCGCGCGACAAGCACCCACGTACCCCGCGGCTTGAACTCGGCGCGAGTTCCACGCGAGCGCGAATCTGTCGAGCGGAATTTTAAAGTCACTTTGGAGTCGGTGCCGATATGTGATACATTCGAACGCCCACGACGGATTCGGAGAAACGAGAGGTGCGAATCGAGCGAATCTCGCGCGCGCGCGCGCGCGAGGCTGGACTAGGATCGCGAATTGACAGTCGCTTGCGATTAAATCGTTTGAATCGGTTGAAGCTGTCGTACGCGTCGAAAGATCCTGTGAACGCTCCAAAATAATCCTGTTCCGAACGATTTCGCGACGTGACAGCACTTGGATGCAATTGTTATTCCTTTCAAAGATGAAACACGTTAAATGGTAAACCGTAGCGATACAAGATTACGCTTAAACGTCAGCGGAATTTATCTACTTATTTATCCACTAAGACGTATGCTAGCCGATTGAGAGAATTGAGGATAGCCGCTGACTCCCGTCATCGTTGGAGCAAAGTGCAATGATCTACGAGCAAGGATAAGAAGACTAATTTGCCGAAGAAAACAAACGGTTATCGATTCAACAGGATTGCAGATCGATCTCACTTTCTTGAAAAAAAAATCTGTTATCTTGAAGGAAATCAAGTGCGCCAGCTGAGACACAAAGAAAAGCAGATAAGAAAGAGTTGGCGAACTGCGACGGGCAACAAAACGAGCGACGCAGATAAAACCGAGACCTTTACCACTGAATCACGCAGATACGCAGCATCGCGGGTTAATCGCGAGCTGAAATAACTTAAACATAACAGTGAACACGATTGAAACGTGATATCCAAAGTCGTCCGCGGAGGAAGGGAGAGAGATCGGATAACGTCGGCGGAATATCGGCAAAATTATCGTTAACGAGACAAAAGTGCGCTCGTCGCGATGATAAAGCGATAAGAAAACGGTAGCGATAACGCAGCGATGACTAATTGAACGGCGACTAATCTTCGCCGAGATGAGCGTGTCGCGCGCGATAAATCGGCAAGTCTGATCGTATGCGACCGTGCGACTTTACGATTCAACCTTTGCGACTCCCGTTACGACGAAGGGGATGAAGATGAACGACGTCAAGCCGGAGAGCTCCAGCGCGTCCATTTCGCCAGCAGGTGGAAATAACAACAATAATAACAACAATAACAACATCAACGGCAGCGGCAAAGCATCGGCAACGGCCGCCGCCGCGGCGGCGGTCACCGCGAACGGTGGCGAGGGGATCAGCGCAGCCGTCGCCAAGGTTCTCCAGGGATACGACTGGACTCTGGTGCCGGTTGCCACCAAGTAAGTGTGATAATCGGCGTGATAATCCAATTTTTTCTTCTTCAATGTTGCGTTGCATTGTCTGAATGATGAAAAATTTCGAATAATCTGCTTGCGCGCTTCAAGAGATTATGCTTATTCGTCCACAGTCTTAATCAAATTGTGTGAAAAAGAAAGACAGATATTCTCAAAAGAAATACAAGAAATATCGATATGATCGGTATGTATGTGAAGTTACTTCATTGTCTGATAAATAAAACACTGTAAGTGCCTGTTTTATTAATATTTTAATATTATTTTGATATCTCTCATTAATGCTTCATATTTTACGTTGTACTCTAAATTTCCGATATTTTAATTCCTTTTATTTAGCAGAGAAAATCAATCGTCAAAATAAAAACTTGTTTTCGAGACGCATCTCTTCCTTTTCTAACTTCTTCGCAATTCTCGATGTTTTCTCGGATGTTTTAATCATCGCGAGTCATATTAGCGACGCGTTAACATACATACATACATACACACACGTGTGTGGCTGCTGTTAAGCCCCGCGGGCTTAACTCGCGCGACGGTAGGCTGCGAAAGAAAAGGAAAAAAATTCAGAAAAGAAAGAGGAGGAACGAAGAAACGGCGCGACGTAGTCGTCGGGGAGAGAAGACGAGGGCAAGGAAGCGTGGTGCGGTCTTAAAAATACGTAACGCTAACTCAATTATGACGCACTCGTTTCCCCGGCCTGGGAAACGCACGTCTCGCGGAAAAATGTCCTCGGCGGCCAATTAACGCAAATTGGCTAATTAATGCCCGATCGCCGCGTCCCGCATACGGCTGCTCGCCGTATCGTGGGAAGGAAGGCGGTCTTAAAATAACTGATAACGCCCGGGGAAAAAAAAAATATGTAAAGTGATTTCTCTTCCCGTGCTTGCGGGGGCAATCATTGGCGGTGTCCTCGGGATGCGTCATGCTCGTCAAGAAAAATTATTAGATCGCGGTGGGCTCGATAAAATCGCGAGCATGACCTCGATTCGCGGAAAATTGTGCAACACGCCGATCGATCCGCTGCGATGGCCGCCGATGCTGCAAGCCGATGTTTCTAATTGCGGAATTTTTTTTCTGTCCTTATAAACGAGAATAAAATACAAGAATTTATTGTTAATCGAAATACATTTTTTTTAAATATCAGAAATTCTACAATTTTTCAAAAGCTAGAATTCTATTCACTTATGTTAAAATTTTAAAAATTGGATTATCTATAAAGAAGATTTGTTATATTGACGATATTATCGTGTTCTCTTTATATTGTTAAATATACAAAGAATTTTTCGGACGAATTTTCACGGCTGTCGCGTTAAGATACATTAAAGATAAAATGCTAGAGCAGTTCAACTGCTCACTGGTTGTGAGTGAAGAACAGTGATTAGGTACATTAGAGAAAAGCACGCTGCAATAGAAATCACCGACATACGCGCTTATCGCTAATCCTCAATCACAGGGTTATCGCAGGGTAGCTGCAGAGGGTGCGGTGCTTATAATGCTCGATAAATACTCGATAAAATCAATTGCTTTTTAATTCCCATGGATTTCGTGAGACCATATCATGCACCTTGCAGAGTTTGAGTTTACTTCTAGCTCTGGCATGCGGGACTGAACATTAATCCGGATGATAAAAAATCGCATTTTACGTGAAATAATAATTCCGAGTGCATTAAATTTAAGAATTTCGAGTTGCCGTCACAGCTGTGCAAATAATTATGTTTTTTTCAATCATTCGTGTTTGCGTTAATTTCTTTTTGGCGCAACACCGCTTATGTAAGATTCCGGCGATAAATCGGGGTTTTTCCTTGCGACGTTGAACGGTCCTCGGTGCTTCTGTTGTACATTCGTGCCATTTTGCACGGCACCACGCCTACATCGCGCGAACGCTAAGTCGCACATATAAGCGTACCTTGCGCGTATTCAGGTAAAACGCGCGTGTCGTGATGCCTCGTGTATGCCGCGCTTACGCCGAGGAGCGCCGTGAAAACCCTCGTTAGTGGGCCCACGCTAATTACCAACGGCTCCGCGGGTTTACACACGGATTTAACGCCCCTCTCATTTCAAAGAGGCCGAAATATACGGGGGGACCGCTTTCGAATCCTTGAGACGCGCGCCGGAGTCCTTTTCACCCGCGTTACGCGCATTCGCCATGCTTATCCCCATGCAATCTCCGCGCGGATATTGAACGCTTATAGATCTGATTGCGCAAGCCACTTGCACAAGCTACGTGCTATTCTTGATCTATTTCCCTCACCAGCATCTTTTGGGATAATTTTTTTATCGCACACGTATTAGAAATTGATCGCGACAAACTTATGAGATATCATCGTAAAGTATCATCTGCAGATATCTCGATTTAATTGCTTCAGAGTAGAACCTTAAAGCATCGTCTATTTTTTGATCTGTCTAACAATAAAAAAAAATCATCTCGTATACCGTATGCCGCCCGTTCTTCGCGCCTCGATCGCTCGCTCCGACCGCGTGAGTCCTTAAAGAATCCTCGATTAAGGGCAAAAAGAAAAACAGGGGGGTCCCAGGATCTCTCTCCGGCGCGGCAATCACGTCAGTCACGTCGATCCCCGGCCGGACGGGGCAAAAGTTTTATAAAGTCATCTTCTCGGAAAGAAAGGGATACGTCCATTCCTACCCATCACACGTCGGCAGCCACGGTGTTATTTTAAGGCCGGTTTTAAACGCGCTCCGCGCGCTCGCCAGGATGACCCGGGGGTGGTACGCGCGGCAAAACCCGATACGGATACATATGTGTGTATATGTATATACGTGCCGTCGCCTCTGGTTATTTTCTTTCTGCAAGTCACCAAGATTATCCGCCAGAATGGCCGACGGGATAGAGAGAGAGAGAGAGGAAGCCCTTGCTGTCAAATTTCGCTTTTATTTCTACCGCGCGATCTGAAAAAAAACCTCTCATTGATGCAGCACGCGTTTTATTCAATCATAAGAAAGCAGTGATCTACGCAGTTTCACAAAAACCTTGAAAAATATTTAATACGCTAGAAATATCAAATTTATCATAAAGACATTTGTTTTGCGGAAGAGGTTGATGAAAGCGCTGAACTATCACAAATAATAAGAATGTAAATACAATATTAAAATTATGTTATAGTGTTGAATGAACTATGTGTCAAGTCATTCGAACTAATACTTTACAAATAGTGATTATGTAACAACGAAATAAATAAAGAATTGTCTGTAGACATTAGAACGTGTATGTTCGCATAAATTTGTAGAGAGCTATCGTTTCCAATGAAGATAATGTCTTCGAATTGCAGGGGCTCCGGCGACAAAAGGGCGGCCCACGTCAAAAGGCCCATGAACGCGTTTATGGTGTGGGCTCAGGCTGCAAGGCGAAAACTAGCCGATCAATATCCTCAGCTTCACAACGCCGAGCTGTCGAAAACACTGGGAAAGTTATGGCGGTGAGTGTCGTGCATTCTTTATGTTTGCGTCAATATTTTGAGCCGAAACAGTAGTATAACTCAATAATAAATCCTGCATTTTAGAAAGCTAATATTCAATTATTTTCAACTAACGAAAAATTATTAATCTTATGCATTATTATCTACATATTTACATTCAAAAGTATATATTCTCTTTGTTTCATTATATTTTTCCTTAAACTTATTCAGTTATATTATAACGTTAAAGTTTGTCGATGTTCTTATAATTATTTAAATTGAGATCTGACAAAAATGGTTAAAAATTATTTTAATTTCTCATTCAATTCTTTCTTATTTCGGTCGTATGAAAATCTGCGCTCGAGGATTAAGTTTGCAGTCCGAGTGTTCAGTCGACAAACAACATCCAGCGGCCTCCCCGGCTGGCGGAAAGACACTGTTTCGATAAAATTAATCGGCACCACGTGTCTTCAATCGGATGCTTCTCCGTTCTCCCGATCTGATAAGCGCGATTCTCTCACAGATGCGAGCTCGGCCAGGCGGCGGTCAGCCATGCGAGAGAATCGCGCTCGCTGATCCTTATTCGCGCTCGCCTTATTCGCAGAAAATCGGATAATCGCGAGCTGCATGGAAATTTGTTGTTGATCGTTTCAGCTGCCGTTCATTCGAAGCCACCTGTGCGCTTATCGATTCAACGGTTTTAAGCTCGTGCGTTAAATTCACTCGAGAAGACAGGTTTAAAGAATCTTTGCCGACGCGATTAATCATTATAATAATTGTTTTGAAATAATTGATAAATATAATTACATATATAATAAACTGAAATTTTTTATCTGCGTCTTTGATGGCAATTATTAACTTGTCGTATTAAAACTTTAAAAACATTTTCGCTCTTCTAATAATTTTCGATAAACTTATTGCGGCGCAGAAATGATCAAAGCAGTTGATGTAGCAAATTGTTAAAAAGAAACTTATGGAAATTTTATTGTGAACTTTACTTTTTGTACTGCAATAATTTTAATTTAAAAAATCTTATTCTTTTCACATAACGATTTAGAAAGAATCAGCTGTCAAAAGAGAAATGAAGATAATGTTTTAATTGTTTCGAAATCATACAATTTCACTTACGTAAGACTATGGCTATCGATTTAAAATCGCTGAGCCGGAAAGAGTCAAATGAAGATTGCGCAAAAGTTCGGAGTCACTGCGTTCCAATTCCCGTGACCACTTGTTCGTACGTAACCCGTTCTATTTTTACCAGCGAATTCGCGAATGCTTCTTTTTTTTTTGCTTCTGAAGGCAACGGCACGTATATTAAACACACTCGTACCACGTGGCGCTTAAGCTGCACGTGGTACAAGTGTTCCTGCTTCTCGAGACCCGTGAACTCGGGTCGCGCATATGTAACGGCGGAGAACACACTTTGCGTGACGTTGGCGGTTCTCTTTTATAACCAGAAACGAATCCTCTTAACGTTCACGTCATTCTCCGTCACTAAAACCTCGTATTGTTTATCAAATCTTTAACCTTTCAAATTTTCTTCTTATTACATCATACAAGCTGTCAAAATTCACGATTGCTATGAAGATAATGTTAGTAACACTTATCGTAAAGTTCTTTCAAATGTTACTTATTTGTTTAATTAATCTTATGATTTGTAGTGCCAGCGTTTAAAAATTATAGATAGCTTTCTAGAATTAACACAGCGGCCGAGAGAAAGTACGCGACTTTTGATACATCCTGTATACGCGGGCTCGGGAATGACTCGTGTACGATTCCGTTTCCTGGTTGGGACTAACGAGGTGCCCCAGTGGGCCATATAAACGATCATCAGAGGACGCGCCGACAAGGACCCCCGTCGCGAATCATTTAATAACACCGGCTCCGATCGCGATCGCTCGCCAAAGATCGACGATCGATATCCCCGACGATTGTCACGACGGAGCTTTCGCCGAAAGATAAAACGTTGTCCGCGCGCATTGAGGATCAATCGATTTTTTCCTAACACTGTATCGAGGGTCATTAGCGATCTATCGGTCTGTAACGCCCGTCGGCGGAACCGAATGACGTGTTTATTATTTGTATACAAATCTTGATGTCCGTGTACAGCTAAACGTACGCAAGGAAGAAGAAGGCTGCATGTCGGAGGTGAAATTAAAAATTCTTGTATTGAAACCGAGTAGGTATAACTGTTGCTTGTAACTCGGAAGAAACAAAAGTCGTCCTTGAGATAGGATACGTTGACCTATGCTTTTCGGCTTTTAAAAAGTAATTATTTAGCACCTCTCCGTATGGACCTAGTGCCAATTAGCACTTTCGTCCGAACACGAGAGATATTTTCGTGACTGTGCCAAGGTTCCTTGTAATAAGCGCGAATGAACTAGCCAAATCGTCTTCAAGCGCCTTCGTCGCGCGTGGAGAATCGAATTTACGTGATCGGCCCGCGATTGAGAGACATTGCCGTGCGCCGCGCTTTGACGTTTTGATTTACCCCCGTGTAGCAACAAACGATACAGTCATCTTCGGTAATGAACACAGTACTAGAGTAATTGCTACATGAGCGAATCGATGAGGCTGATAAAGCGCGAAGTTCCGCGAGGATCGTGCTTGCGAAGATCGGCGTACGTACAGATCGGAGCATTGATGACGCGGTGGTTTGTGAGACTTCATAACTGAAACGACAAGTGAGTAAAAGAAGATATCGTTACAGTCGAATTGTCATGATATTTATGATATTACACATTAAAAAATGAAAATATAAGATGTAATTAAAAAAAATATACAATAAGATTACAGTAGAGAATCTCTATAAACAGTAAAAGCGAACGATAGCGACTTAAAACATTGCACAGTTCGCATATCAATTGCAAAAGTACGACGAAAATAACATGACGCAAAATGTAATAGGATAGGCTTCTTTTAGCGCTTCCGGCACAGGAATTTTAACCCCGTCAGTCGATACGTCGAATCCTTGCGGACTTGGACGCCGACTTGTCTCTCGATCCCGATAAGAAGGCCAGGTGCCGGTGACTGGAAATAAATCTTTTTCTCGCTCGCTCTCCCTCTCTCTCTCTCTTCTTTTGCGTCGTCTCGAAACGTATCACCATTCGGATACTCCAAACGCGATGTGTTTGTCGACAAAAGGAAAACAGATATCCCCCTGGTTCATCCTTGGCGCGTGCTCGCAGCTGCCGGCCGGTTCCTGCCGGAGATAAAGGGGGGGAGGCCCCCAGGGACCACAATAGGCGCCTTGTGCCCGTCAGGTGAATTTTTCCGAACCCGCCCTCCCGCTCCCCGTGCCCTCCTGCAAATAGCGCGTGACGAGAACAGGTAAATCTGCCTTATCTCCCGGAAGAAACGATTCCTCCACACGTCGCATTTCCTTCGACCGAAACACCGCGGTAGCGCTATCCGGCTCCAAGTAAAAGAATACAAATTGCTATTTCAACTGAGAGTTTGTAATTTTATCGCCGCTCGAATCTGCATTACGTTTGCAGAATTACGCCTTTTTACTGAAGGCGTCATTAGTCGCGGTTTTTTTAATATTCAATGTTACATGTCTGGCCGAGCAATTATTGCCGCTTCGACCGTGTAATTAACGTTTCGAGAAAGTCGGACGATTTCTCGATTTGTCGGTTATCCGAGATGACAAGCGTGATAATTCAATTAATGTCCCACGATGGAGATTCACGGATTGCGACGCGCGACCTTTGCCCGTGTGAATGTCTCTCCTTCGACGATCTTTCACAGGGTAACATCTGATACGCGCAAAGTAACCTCGTATAGATTACTGGCGAGAGGCCGATCTAAATTGGCTGACCCTGCGTTGCATCTGGCGAGGAAAAAGGGAGACTGCGACGGTTCGCTATCGTCGGCACCCGCACTGGCGAAAAAAAGCTCGTGGCAAGTCCATTGACCAGATGGGTTTTCTCTTTTCGTCTTCCGCTTCGTCAGTCTGTCGCGCTCCCTTTCTCTCTGTCTTTCTGTCAGTGACAAAACACCGTCGGTTAAGTTTGAGATACGCGCCTTCAACGTGTGTCAACCCATTCGAGAGCTTAAGCTCCCGTCGTGGGATTTAAATCCCGAGCTTGCAAATACTTCAGATAACGCATTGAAAGCTTTCTCGAACAATTTTTGTGTCAACAGTTTTTTCTCGTGAATGTATATTATTCGGAATACAATTAATATGAATGATACTTGAGAAAATAAATTTTTCTTTGAAAGAAACAAATGTGCACTAAATTATAGATATTGTGGATAAACGAAAGCATGGTGAATCTGAGATCAGCCTGCATATTACAAAGTAAATTTATCATTCGTATACTGATAGCGCGTTTAAAAGGCGAAAAATATGAATCTTGCGAATCGTTTAAACAGTATAAATCACTGTCGGCGGTGTATGACGGAAATCCTCGAGATCTCCTCGAGTTCTCTATTACACCGGAAAACCTTATCGGCCGCGCAGTTTACGAGCCCAGTGGGAATATAAACACAGAGCATTAAGGACCATAACCGGGCACCGAGTCGCACGTCGAGCACGGCCGCTGTGAAGCTGACTAACATCGAGTCGGTGGCGTCGGATTGTGCGCGCGGGCGCACGCTTTAACGCGCTCAGAAACACTAACCAGACCCCCCATTTCGACTGTTCGAGAGTATATCAGACGCCGATGGAAATGTTCTCGTTCGAGCCTCTTCTGATGCCGGATAGCGGAGAGACGTCGGTCTACGAGCGGCGCGAGATATGCGCACGCGAGTGCGAGAGACGTGAATCACGTCGGGCCGATGACAGATTTCACGACTGAGCTTGAAAACGGTTTCACAATATTTTAAAATTATACTAGCGTGATAATTGAAAATTTTACGCGATGCAAAAAACTAAGACTGCAAACTAAGACAGAAAGTTAAAGACTATGATTGGATTGCATCTTAAAAAATATTGTTAGGCTTATAGAATACTGAGAGAGAATAATTCTTTTGTTGTCTGGCAATTTAAATTTCTTGTTATATCTCGGCTGATCACAGACTCCTGTCCGAAAACGACAAGAAACCCTTTATCGAAGAGGCCGATCGCCTGCGCGTTATTCACAAGCGCGAGCATCCCGATTACAAGTACCAACCCCGACGCCGGAAGCAGAACGGGCCGTCTTCCGGCCGCGAAAATTCACCCTCGAGGAACCAGAGCAACGTGACGTTCAGCGTTTCCAGGTCCTTGAAACAGGAAGACATGAGTCCTCGAGGTGTTCAAGGACCCAATTCACCGCAAAGTGGTGTGAGCTCTTCGCCACCCACGACACCCAGTCAGGGTCTGTCACCGCCGACACCCCCCACGACACCCAGAGGACAGCACTACGTTAATCAGGTACCTGATTAATTTGTCCTTTATGATTTGCCGAAATTTTATGACTTAATGAGAAAAATGATATTTAAATAATTATATCGACGTTATTCAGTTATTCTGTTGTCTCTAAATTATTACAAATATTGAATTATAATAAAGTTGGCGCAAAAATAAAATCTTTGTAATTCTAAATTACAACATGCATTTAAATAATTCAACAAATTTGTATGCAATTAAGATAAAAAGTCAAATTGATATGTCGTTGTATTAAAATCATATTCAAATGAAAAAATAAATTTTTTGATCGACTATGAATATAATTATCTAAGGCCACTTTTACCCGATAAGAGTCAGTTGCATCATGCCAATCGCCGACGTCATGCGAAATGAAAATGTTTAATGCGCAGAACAATCAGCTTCCGCAGAATAACACCGTGTACTATCAAGAGCTGGTCAGCGGTACGTCGTCGAGCGAATCCCCGCATCAGCAACCACCGGTCGATCTCCGGTACATTGAAGTCGGAGACGGCCTGGCCGGCGAGGAGAACCAGTTGAATGGCCTCGGCACTTTGGGCGGGCTCGGCCTGAATCTCCCGGTGAATTTCCAGGAGTGCGAGGTCGAGAGCAACGAGCTCGACCAATATCTACCACCCCAGAGCGCTCCGATACATCAGTATCCACCTGTGCAAGTCACCACCGCCTCGCAATGGTTACTCAACAGGTAAGGAGCATCATATTTGTATATATATAATTTCACTTGCAAATTGAAGATTGCGTTTTAAAAGAATTCATGATAACATATTGGAAGCCTCGAAGACACGCATTTTAAACAAAGATTATTATACACTCACGTATTATCTAAAAAAAAAAAAAAATATGAGAATAATATCGATGGAATATAAAAGTTAAATTATTCTACTTATTTTGTTATCTCTATTTGTAACTCACTCGTTATAATTATTATGTCTATTTTTTCATACATCTTTTTTCGAGCATTCTTTATCTTCAACGCAAATATTAACATCCGCACATGATTCCAGTCGACAAATAGAATGCGTCGTAAAAACATAGCTTAGTAAATTTCTTAAAATTTTCACCAATTTTGCTTACTTCTTTTCTTCGTGCGTTTTACGAGACGTCGGGAATACGCTTTGCTTTTTCAGATACGAAGAGGAGATCGAAAGGCCGATCAAACGTCACTGTTCCGAGCAAGCGATGGCGGAGGTATCGTCTTGGGAGGACAGGACTCAGGAAATGGTCAGGTACCACGAGTTGCAGCCTCCCCTTCCGCCGGTCCAGTACATATCCGCCCATAACGCGCATCATTCGCACGCGACTACGCAGATGAGCCATCCGCATGTATCTACGCCCTACGCGCAATACGCGCATCGCTATGTACCTGGCATCGAGACATCGTGGCCGAATTACATGTAGACCAAAATGAGGTAAACGTGACGACATTTTTACGCTGGTGCGCCAAGAGGCACACCGGAGTATCGTTGAATGTTCGATTTATGTATAAATAAGCGAGTAAGAAAAGACATAGGTTGTCTCGGATCCACCGAGAAATATTTTAAGGACAGATTTTCGGAATTTGTTGTCGATTTTTATCTAATTCGATTCATCTATGTCGATCTTGTGTAAAAAAGATAATTAAATAAAGTCATATAAGTTTTGAAATTGCCCTGAAATTATTTAGAAATCAAAAACTTGTTGCTTGGTTTCAATTGCAATTAACAAATCTTCGTTAACGAAAAATCGATGCCAAGTTTATTGAAAAAGTTGTCTCCAAAATATTTGTTCCCGAGAAAAAATGGTACAATTGGTCAGATGTAAATATATACAATTAGTTATGACAAGATCTGAATTTTATATGATCATATAAAATTACATATGTTATTAGATCTTTTCATAACTAATTATATATATTTACATCTGACCATATTACACCATTTTTTCTCGGTTGATAGACCGGACACCCTGTAGATATTTCCGTGGATAAAGTTTTGTACGGACGCAAAACGTAAATACATTTTATTTTATTACGTCGACTATTTTATTATATAGCGTTACGAATACAGATTGTATAAATGAATTGTGATTGGAATAATCACCGCGATGTTAAGTCTTTGCGGCGTTGCTGTGGAGTCCAAAAGATAGCCAAATACAACGTAATTAACGAGATAAATCTTATTAATAAATATATACGCGAACCTGATCGCGAATTGTGTGCAGAATGCGCGGCTAATCGCGAGCTTCGTGTGATACAGTTCATAACTAGTGTAACGCAGATATCTCAGATATCACCTGCTTCGGTTTTAGAACAGCATACCTTCTCCAGGAAGGATGCCGGTGTTATCTCTAGCGTTCGATAACATTGCGAATTTATAGAACGAGAGGAGTACAGATAAATATGAAAGCTGTGTCACTTTGGGATTTCCGAGTCGTTAAAGAAATTGCGACTAAAATTAGAACCTTATCACTTCAATTCCACGTAATTTCGGTGTCGCAACGATTATGCGATTATGAACACTCGCGTAGTATCTCACCTTAAACTAACTGACACAAGCAGTGTAATCCAAATAGAAAGGAGTATTTAATCACACATTTTGACAAGCGCAGAATAAAGAGCATAATATAACATTTACGTAATACTGTGAATGTCCCGAAAACATTAGCAGAATTCGTCGCGAATTCGTTCCCCGCCTGACTTAATTAAGGAATATAGAGCGCATCGAATCCCGGTTGCGCTCTGATCTACTGTAGATTTATCTGCTAGAGATACTCAAGTCAGAGTAGTGGTAGAATCAAATTACTAGATTTTTCGATCATTTTTCTTGACGTCATTTCATTTTTTTATAAGCAGAACCACTTTTTTCTCTAACTTCCTTTCAATATTTGTACTCTCAAAAATTAAAGATTTTTATTCTTTCTCAAATTATCTATAATGCTTTAATTAAGATGTCAAAATACTTTGTTTCGTAATTTACTAGGATAATTACTATTGCGCGATTATTTATTAACACACCATCGCCTGCAATCCGAGATGGTTGCGTTACATACTTTTTACTCGACGCGAAAATGGCGGATTGGCCATTCTCCGGCTTGAGAGTCTCTACTAACGTGGACGAGGCGCGGCCACGATACTCACCATGACATCATTCCATGACAGCCGGCCATTCCAAAGCGCAGAATTTCAGGCCAAACAAACAGGCCGCTCGATATATACGGTGCCCAACGGCGCGTTCCAAATGTAATAATATATATGTACGCGAGAGACGCGCGGACGCTATAAACCGTCGATCGGTCGGTTTGCCGCACGCTCGCACACGTCTCGTTCAAATAAACGGCTGAAATACGATCGAGGGTGGTAACAAATGTGCGTTTTAGCACTTTTCGTTTAACGGGCCAAAGTATTTTAGGATATAAAATTCGCATAGTCAAAGAAAAATAGAAAAACAATATTAAAAAATTATGTTTGTACAAAATGCCTCCAAAAATTATACATATATATTTTCGAAAACAAATTTATCCAATTAACAAAATTGTTGCCTAAAATACTTAAAAAAACAATAAATTTTATCGATAAGTTAAAAAATGATTTTTTTTTGTAATTTAATATCTGAATATCTCTGACTTTAGTTTGATTAAATCGCTGCTGGAGGCGACTGTTATATCGAGAAGGGACCAGCCTGATATCGAGCGTGCAACTAATGTAAATGAGCTTACAGCTCCATATTTAAACATGTAGATTGCATATATTATACATTATTAACTCTTATTAGTTACTACGCTGACAGCCGTGCTTTTGTACTTAGATATTTATTCATCGCATTACGAAGATTGATAGAAAGCGTAGATTTACGTCGCAGCGTAGTTGAAAGGCGAGCATTAAACCGTAATTTATAAGTGCGATGTACGCTAATTTGTAGAAATAAAGCAACAGGAGATTAAAGTCAATTTGTCGCATTTAATTCCTTTCGCTCCCAATTTCCCGATACATTTACATGTTTCCCATATTTTGAAATACACAATATAATTTTCAAAATAATTATCATTTGCAGCGTTATTTCACTTCATGTTCCTCGGAATTATAACGTTCTAAATTATAATAAATCATTTAAATTCATAAATACGTGTTTAAGATACTTCTTCAACAGCCAATGTGGACACAATAATTTAATTCACGAAAATCTCGGAAATGAGAAAAAATAAAAGGAAAAAAATTGTTTAAATGCTTTATAACGAAAGACATTTTTTCTCGAGTCAGAGTCGATTTCAGAGGATCATGCGACGATTTGGCGAGACCAATAAAAAATCTTATCTCGCCTTCTTAAATGATATTTGCAACGACACACGCATAGCGAAATAAAATAGTACGCGGACTAGGTCACACGCGGTAACAACGCGTCTCAAATATTTGTTGAGCCCTTTACTTCCCTCTTTTAATAGCCCGAAAACCGCGAATGGACTACTCTCACTACTCTCTGGGTCGACGTCGAGCAAACAGGGGGGGCTTATCGAAATCCACCCGACAAGGGACGTGGGAATGTCGCGACTTTTATGTCACTTATCCGCATCTAGGAGATTAAAAGGAGAAAAGGCGCATATATAAACGGCCGTTACGCCGTGCGCGCGCGTACTTTTAACATGCGTGAGCTGACTGACACTCGGCACCCAGCTTGCATACGAATTTTCATAGACAATATTGACAATTTAAGATATGTAAATTAATAATTTAAATTGCATTTTGACATCTCTGCTAAACTTATTATTATGATTGTGTTTTTTTTCATGTTTTTCTCAGAAAGATATTAATTTTTTATCATACTTGCAATTCTTATATATTTTTTTCGACATTTATATTCTATTGTGTAATTTTAATTCTTTTATATTGAATTTTGTTGCGTTAGAATTGTATGGCAGATTATTTGGCGCGGCAGAAATAACTCGCGGCAATCGTTTACGATACGATACGATGCGTCTCGGTTTAGATCAAGTTGGATGACTTTTTTCTCCTCGTCGCAGACGAGCTTGACGAGAGTCAGTCCTTTCATCTCACCGTATCATCGTATGGCCGTCTGATTTTTTCCTCGCATCGTTGTCAGTCATCAAGATTTCGATAAAATGAGCGCGATTCACTGACGAGAACAGGCAGCGAAACGGAACAAACAACGGAAATCGTGCCTGGGCTCTCTTGACCTCTTGATACGGTAGGATTTTGTGAAAAGGATAAAGAAGATGTAGCGAAGCGTCCGAGAAGCAATCGTGACATAAATGCGATAGAGTTATTTATTGAAGTACGATTGATGGGTGTTGAAAAAAGTCGCTATTTACGCTTTATCTATTTTAATTTCCTCGCGCATTCGATTTACTAGAAGACGATCGTTCTTTAACATCGAACAACTTCCGGGTGCTGATTTCTGGAAATCTCGAGTTTATCTCAATACAAACATCCCTTTTTTTCTCGTTTTATATACTTCCGCAATGGACTTTAATAAAACATCACGACAGTTAATAAATTTCTTGATAAGACGTTGAAGATACTATCAGATGTTTGTAAAGAATATTAAAACTTTTCAAAACTCATAAATATTTTTTGGTGTATTTTCTATAAATCTAGATTTAGTTTGAATTCTATTTCTTGAATTTAAAAATAAAATATAATTCTGAAATAAATATTATTAAAATTAAATGTGTATTTGAAATATAGCCACAGCACATTGTTATCTTAATATTACGCTGGCAAGTGTTGGAATTTGTTTGTCCAGATAGTCAAACATTGGCAAAGAAGTTGACAAATTTGTTGTCGATTTGCCAACATTGCTAACATTTTGCTTTTCGAGTTATAAACTTGTAAAAACATCTTAATGTTACATTTACGTTTTCACTCAAATACTCTGCTTTAGCTCGAATAAAGGACATTTCCTTCCTGCGGAAATACAACCTCGGCCTACCAAAGTGCGTTGACATTTCGTATGATAAATAAATATTTGACCAGGCATGATGGTATCGATAAAATTTTCGACAGTTCGGGCATTCAGCGACTTGCGGAATAAAGAGTTGTACAGCTGTACAGATTGTACTACGTTTTATCGGCTGGTTATATATCCTCTTTACTATCCATTCATCGAAATCTCGCCTCGTGGCACGCGTGGACCATTGTGATTGTGGAAAAGCTTCAGAGTCAAATAATTTTTTCGATATTTAGCGAACATTCTGTCGTAAAGTTAAACTGAAGTTGTAAAACGACGTGAGAATTTAATCTTTGACACCGTATAAATCACTAGTGCTCAGTTCCACCAACGTAGATTAACTTTAATCTCGGTTCAACTTATTCTTCATCTTTTTCTAGTTCTAATAATTAGAAAAAGAATAATTAGAAGTGGAACTGGGCATAGTTCATCTACCTGAGAGCACTGTGTTCATCTACCTGAGAGATTCTCTAAATTCTTTTAGAAATTTTGTTATACTTAAACGAAAGATTAATATAAAAAATATATACATCATGCTGATGTAAATAAAATTTATAGTTGTATTATTTTCAAACTGTTGTTTTTTTTATAACATGATATATTGCGATGAGACTCACATTTCGATAACTCAATATACACATATATACACACATAGCAGATAAGGAAGGATCGAAGAGCTTATCGGCGCCGACACGACGATAGCTCTAATTAGCGCGGCAATTAGGGCATTTTAAGAATCGCTCTTAAATAGCCGCGGGATAAATGTCGTCTATTTATTTGCGCTGAAATTATCAATTAAATTCGCCGAGGCATCTCCTTGTTCCTCCGCGAGCGAAAAGGTGGAAGTCGTAAGGCACAATCTAATCGA